TCCACCTTATATCACGGCTGTGTCTCCCCCACCTTATATCACAGCTGTCTCTCCCCGGAACCCACAGCTGCTCACTTCAGCTAGCACAGCCAGCCCCGTGAGGAAGGACCTGGGACCACAGGTGGCCACCATGCCCCTGCTTCACCCACTGTCCTCCCCAGCACTTTTACCCAAGCTGGCCTCTACCTCCTGCTCCTCTGCCTCCACATCCTGAGGGTGGGGAAGACAGGTCTGAGGCCGCCATGCTTGGTTTTGACATTTTAGTAACAGTATAGTGGGGTGGGGGAGAGGGGAGCTCAGAACCGTATGTTCTTACAGGTGGAAGTGACCACAAAGCTTAACCCAGGAGGCACCTCACAGAGCTGGGATGTCGGGCCTGTCTACGCAGTCAGCGCGTGGAGGGTCCAGCACCAGGTGAAGAACAGCTGGCCGCCCCACAGAGCTGTCTACCGGGAGGGAGGGGCAGTCTGTCCTGGAGGCCCTGCCCAGTCACACCTCCTCTCAGGGGCCCACTTCAACAGTCAAGGGCAGCATGCAGATTTCCCAGGAGCCCACAGGGGCGTGCCACCACAGGAAGCACAGGCCACAGACACAGTAAGTTGGAGAGACAGGCCAGTGCCTGGGAATACGCACCACTGCCAGCTCTGTGGGCCCCAGCCACTCAGATCCCAGTTTCTCTGTGCCCAGGGGCTGCTGGTACAGCCTGCTCTGTGGTCCTGAATCCGGTACCTGCTCCCCAACCTGTATACACACTTGAGGACCCTTACAGGCCTAAGTCTGAGGCAGGGGTTCCTTTAGCTGCCCCAGGGTACCCCTAATCTTTTCCACTGTAACCCAGGAGAACACGCACAGAGCAAATCCCAGGAGCCAAGAAGTTCAAGGCCATCTTCAGCCAGAGGCCAGCCTAGGTCATCTGGGATGCTGCCTCAAAAAACCTACAGCAGGGTTCAGGTCGCTGGGGCAGGCACGAGTTTATGGCCAGCCTTGGCTACGGAGTGCGATCCTGTCTCAAACTTACAAAGCAGGGCTGGTGAGGTGACTCAGTGGGAAAAGCTTGGTGAAAGCCTGGGAACTATCAACGTGGAAGGGGCCAGCCTGGTCTACACAGCGAGCTCCAGGATAGCCAGGGCTACAGAGACCCCTGTGTCAAAAAACCAAAGTTCAAGGAGAGAAGCAAGTCCAAGTTGCTCCCTGACTTCCACAGGCACACAACGGCACATGGCAGCCACCCATACGTATCTGAGGTACGTAAGACCTGTATCAAAAGAGCCAAGCATAGTGACCCCAGCACTCAGGACCCGGAAGCAGGAGGATCAGGGGTTCAAGACCATCCTAATCCACGTGAGACCTTGTCTCTCAAAAATCTAAAATTAAAAAAAAAAAAAATCAAGATGGGGTTTCTTCCCCTTGGGTCTGAGCTAGGTGTGGCATGCTCTCAGGGGTCTCTAAGGGAATCAGTGGCTGGCACCCCAGCTGGAGAATCACACCTCCAGGCCTCAGGCACAGCCAAACCAAATACCCTTCTGTCCCCTGGCTTGTGTCCTGCTGTCACAGGCCTGCACAGCCCGCCATGGGGACAACCTGTTCCCGGCTTTGACTGTAGACTCAGGTGAGGCTGCATGCTGCTGCTGGACCCTGACCTGTTTCAGAAGGCTCTGGAAGATCTGCCATCTGACAGGATGTGACCTCAATCTGTCTCGGCCTCATGGCACTGAGCTGTCCCGAGGGGCAAGGCTGTGGGCAGGCGGCCTCGGGCGACCTGAAGGCCTGTTCCAAGGGAGGAAAACAGAGGCCGACCACCACCACTGGGCCCCAAATTAGACTAATTCCCTAGCGTGGGGCCTCTCTCAGAGAGGAAAGGATGGATGACCACCCACAACACCTAGCCTCGAATGGGAGCCCCCAGCCAAGAGTGCAGCCTGGGGTCTTAGTGAGCAGAAACTGTGAAAGCTAATCTGTCCTCACGATGCTACCTGGCACAAGGGGCCTCCCCTCAGGCTCTGTCTCCCAGCAGGGCCCTGAGGCCCCATGAACAGCAGTTGGCCCAGAGGAGCTGTGCTGGAGGCCTCAGTGGGGGTAGTGGACATGGCCACAGAGAGGGGACATGGGCAGATTGGACAGCTGTGGCTCCCAGGCTTGGCTTTTTGACTGCTACGCGATCCGGGTGTCCTGTGCCCCTTCTGCCCAGGATACGGCCTCCTGGTGACCATGCAGTGTGGGACAAAACCCACAGAGCGAAGGCACTCTTAGGGTCTGATGTACGTCCTTGCAGGCCTTGGGGTCCCGTGCCCCTCAAGTGTGAGCGGCCAGACTGCTTCCTCGGGTGACAGGTGGCCGTCCGAACAGCCCAACTATGTCTCTGCATTCAGAGCTGAGTACAGACGTGCTGAAGTTTCCCCACAGCACACCCTGAGGTCAAGCCCCGCTCTGTGCCTCCAGAGTGACTGTCCCCTCCTGGGCGCCAGGATGGGGACAAGTGTGACTCATGGAGGTCAGGGCAGTTCATGGGCAAGTTCTTCACACAGGTGCTGCTGCCCAGCCGCTGGAAGTAGCAGAGGTCATGGGGGGGGGGGGTGTAGGTTACCAAAGGGACAGGTGTGTTCTTCCAACTCACAAGGCCATGCAAGACAGGGGCTCCCTTAGGGCACAGCCCTCCTGATTCATCCTGCACCTCCTCTGTCCCTAGGGTCACGAACACTAGGCTGCCAGACCCCAGGTCCTCCGACACCAAACAGGTTGTCCTCTCTATAAAAGAAGTGCTATGACCCCCTCATAGATACACCATACCACTCAAGCCCACAGGCCCCAGATTTGGGGCCCTCCCAGCCCACCATTTCTCAGCTGAGTATAGAGACACCTCTGTGAGCCACACGCCTAGGACTGTGCCGACCAACCGGCTCTTGAGAAAAGACTGCTCGTGGTGCTGACTGGCAAGCTGATGCCCAGCCTACAAGAGCATGGGTCCCGTAAGAGCATGGCCACTAAGCCAGTGGACATGAGATGGGCAGGTGAACCTGGATGAAGCCCCAGCCACTTCCCACCATGATCCAGCTACAGGACTCTTGGGCTAGGGCCTCCTTCACATGGCCCCATCTGTCCCCCAGATAACAAGAAAACCACTGGCCTGTTCTATACCATCTAGACACCAAAAAGCCACACTATATGGCACTCAGCCTCAACAGGACCTTACAGCCCTGCTTTCCTCCTCCCTCCCCGCCTGGCCCCCACATAGCTAAGGGCAGCACCTCAACAGTCCCCAGCCCCTTGCAGAAAGGATGTTGGCTGCTGCTGGTAGGAACCTGGGGTAGTTTGTGCAGGAGTCACACACAGAATAAACACCATCTACCCCACAGCACAGCTCCTGTCCTGCCCGGTGTACAGATACACCTCCCCAGGGCCTACATCTTGGATGGGCATCCCCCATTTGTAAGCTCCCCAGGAACACAAGTGGTCCTCTGCATTTGTCTGGAATGCCACGTTCATCCCAACTCACAATCGGCATGCTGGCTTCTTCCCCAAAGCTGGGATGGGCATGTTGGCGCCATTCAATTACCAAGAACCTCACTCACTTCCTGCTCCCGGAGGCAATTACAATATAATTAAGGAGGAGAAGTCACAGGTAACTCAAAGAAATCCACACTCGGTTCCACACTGTGGACAGCACAGGGGGCCCGGCCTCTGGGACATGCTTGGAGCCCAAGTGACCATCCCAAGGTAAAATAAGGGGACAGAAGGCCACCTCTCCTCTGAGCAGGCCCGGCGATATAAGAGGCATGCTCAAAGCAACACCGCCAGGAACCGACACACAGACCCTGAACACCACCCCACTCGCCTGCTGCAGTGGGCTCTGGAGCCCCTAGATTGAGCCCTCCCCAGGGGTCCCCAGCTCTCCTGCTTAGTTGCTCAGGTTCTTTCCCATTGGCTCCCAGGAAAGCACCAAGGCTCAGGTTAGTGGGGAGGGCGGGGAATGAACTGTTTGTGTGTGCCCGTGATCTCCTGGGAAACCCCCCAGCCAGCACCACACAGCTCTGGTGGAGACAAGTGCACACTTTCCCTTACAAACCTGTACGGGCCATCCTCTGCATTACACCCAGGCAGAGCCCCCAGGGCAGGCAAGGAGCCCAGACAGTGACCACCCCCACACCTGGCTGGTCAGCATTGTCCCAGTGGGCAGCTGGGGTTTCTCCTATACCAACAAGGCCTTTGTGCCTTCCACCCACCAGCTCTCAGAGTACCCAGGCCACAAACATCCACTGCAGCTCCTAGTGGAAGGCCCCATCAGCCTCCAGAGCCCTGAGGGACAGGCTCAGAGAGGACAGAGACAAGTCTCCCCGCCTCCACCTACACACCAACCCCCAGGCTGCTTCCTGCAAACTGCCATCCAGAGGCCACCAAGATGAAAACCAGCTGCCCCCAACCTAAAAGCTGGGTCTCGCCCAGGTCGCACAGTAGCCCCTGCCTGCAGACATTCTGTTTCCATCTCCTAAAGTCACCCATGGACAAAGTTGGGGCAGAGAGGTACGGGCAGGGGATCCAGCAGCCAGCTCAGACATCTCACCCCTCCCTCCTTCATCCGTGTGTTTCCGGAAAACAAAGCCGGTGGCCAGAGCGGAAGGGGGAGGGCACAGGCGGCTGGGACCAGAGTTCTCAAGCAGCTCCCTGCAACAGGTCCCCCCCCTCCACCTAGACAGGACCCTCCGTCCCTGTCCCCAAGCCCCCCAGCTATTCTCCCCCAACAAACCACCAGGACCACAAATGGCGAACAGTGAACATCAGGCAGAAGGGCTGGGAGAGTGGAGGGACAAAGAGCCGGGCCCAGATGGCAGGAGGCCCGGAGACCAGGTGGAAAGGGAGGTCTGGGGACAAGAAAGGGACATCGGGGGACACGGATTAAAACGTGAGGTTTGCAGGTGGTCTGAACACCCGGATAGAAGACGCAGGAAATTAGGGGCAGAGCGCGAGGCCACGGGTGGGGTCAGTGTGGCAGACACTGAAGCAGAATGGGGGGTCCCGGGAAGAGGGTGACCGGAAGTAGTGGCGCCTGGGTGTCGCAGGTGAGTCGAGCACCTGCGACATAGCAGACACAGGAACTCAGGTATCAGAGAGCCGGATCAAAGGTGGAGTCAGAGTGAGGGGTACTGAGGCAAGGTAACCGGAAGTTGGGGTCGCGCGATACAGAGCACCAGTCGGGAACCGCAGGGTGGGGACGGCGAGCACCCCGGTGCGGAGACGGGGTCATCTGGGGTCAGTGGGGGGGGGGGTCACAGGGGCGCGGCGCGGCGGGGGTGGGGCGCAGCCGGCCGTGCGCGCGCAACGTTACCTGCGCCCCGCCTGGGGCCCGCGGGCGGCGGCGGCCGAGCTCAGCAGCGCGGCGTCCCCCGCTCCGGGCCCCGCGCACGTTTGCGCTCCGGCTCGGGCCCCCGATCCGGCTCCCGCGCTGCCGGGGCCGGCCTCGGCATGTTCGGCGGAGAGGGCCGGGCTCCGCCGCTCCGCCGCGCCCGCTCCGCGGAGCCCCCGCGCGCCTTACGCCGCCAGCGTCGGCCAGCGGGGGGCGGCGGCCTGCGCGCGCCACTGCGCAGGCGCGACCGGGACGCGAGAGGGGTGCGCGTTGCATACGTCATAGCGCGGGGCGTGGCCTTTGGGAAGGGGCGTCGCTTTACGACCGCGCAGGGCGTGGTCTTAAGGTGCGGAACGTGGCTTTACGACCATGTGGGCCTGGTCACTGAGGGGGGCCTGGAGCTTTACGACGATCAGAGGTGTGGCTGGGAGGAGAGCGCGGAGCTTTACGACACGGTGGGGGCGTGGCCTGAAGGTGGGCGCGGAACTTTAGCCACCAGGTAGGGGAGGGGCCTTGAGGTAGGCGCTTTACGACGGGTCGGGCTGTGGCCTGGTGGAGGGGCGGAGCTCTACCACACTGGGGCTTAGGTTGGAGGCGGGAGCCGAACTTTACCATAACCCGGGGGCGGAACCAAGTGGCGGGCACGCCGTTTTGCGACGGCGCCTGAGGGTAAAGGGTGGTTCGCCGCACTACGGCTGCCGCGCTTTGCGGACGAGCCGAAGCCGCCTGTCGGCGAGTCCCGAGGGACACCGTAGAACGGCGGCTGCGAGAGCGTTCCTGAGCTGGGACTACTACCATCGGCGGCCCCACCCTCGTGGGGGCGGGGCCTACAACCCCGCGGGGCGTCGCGCTCTCGTTGCCATGGAGACGCGTGGCGGTCTCCGCGGCGCCCGCCCGCAGTTGCGTCTGTGACGTCACTGTCTCACCACCCGACGTCACGGTGGGCGGTGCCAGGGGGCGTGGTTTTTTCCTAGAGCGCCGGCGACGGGGGTGGGGTCGGAGGGGAGTGAATGGCGCTGGACCCGGAAGTTACTTCCATAAAAAGAAAATAGTATTTTAAGATTCATGGTCCGCACGGCAGAAAATTGTCGGTTTGGTTCCCGGCAAATGGTCAGAGTCAGGGCTGTTCGTCTCGGTGTTAATTCTTTAAATCTTTATTCTGATTTTTGGTTTTTTTTTTAGAGACTGTCTTGCTGCGTAGCTCAGGCTGCCCCTCTACTCCTAGCAATCCTTCCCGCCTCAGCCTCCAAGTGCTGGGATGACAGGCATGACCCATCACCCCTTGGTTTTTCTTGTTCTTTTGCATGACGACATCCCCAAGTGCCAGAGCCTCTGGGGTCCCAATCCTGCAGCAGGTCACCTGGGGACGACCAGCAGGTGCCCTGCCAGCCTCCTGCACAAAGCACGGACTCTGCTTCCAGCTGGCAGGCACTTGGTGCAGCTCACAAAATGCGTGTTCACGCACTGCATCGTGTCTCCCCGCCGCACATAAAGGCGGGGAGGGGCTGCAGAGCAGGGTCCCCATGTGACTCCTGTGCTGCCCAAGGCCCTGCCTGGAAAGAGGCCGCTCCCCCCCCCCAACCCTGCTGCTTCCCCATGTAGATATTTGCTCAGTTGAAGGAAACACATCTAGTCACAAATCCTCCGAGGCTAAAATGATGGACTACCCAGGGGGTCCTCAGTCCTGGGGGAGGGCACCCAAGTTTCAGAGGACTTCATGGGTGGTAAAGTGCCTGAGGGTGGGTGCTTTGGCCAGATGGCCCCTGGGAAGGCCAGATGCAGTGTGCCCAGATCCCAGCCTCTTCCTCATGACGGTATGTTCCTTCCCTCCTAGAAGAAAAAACAAGGGGTGAATATGCCGTCCTGGGAGGCTGAATCCAGCGTTTTAGCAGCCAAGTGCAGCCCAGAAGTTGCAGGCAGTAGAGAAGTTCCACAGCCCCTTTTCCTTTCTTGCTGCAGCGTGATTCTCTCCTGAGCTGTGGTGTGGAGGACTGTATCTGCTCTCAGACTGTTCTTCTGGGAGGCAGCGCAGGAGTGTGCACACAGTAGGCACTCAGCCGATGTGCCGTGACTGCTCCACAGCCCTCACAGAAGGGGAGAAGTTGGGCTTTTCCCTTTTTGGACGTCCTACCCCATCTTTGTCCCTCTCTACCTGGGTGGTGGCTGTTACTTGCCTCTTAAATCACAGCGTTTACAGCTCCAAGTACATAGGAATTAAACCCAGGATTAGAGCCGTTCCAGGCAGAGGTTGTGTGACTGTGGACCAATCACTTACCCTCGCTGGTCCTCAGTACTATCTCCTTATAACTTTAGGTTAATGGCCAGGCCTATGAGTATATGGTGGGAATCCAGAAAGGGATAAAATACTGCCAACTGTCGTCCCCGCTAAGGTGCAAGGGGATGTGCTCTGCAGGGCGGCCCCAGGTCACCTGCTGCAGGCTGAGAAGTTTCAGAGTCCCTCTTACCTGAGACCCCCTTTGATGTTCAGATGTGGATGCCAATGGATTTATTGGCCACTGCACCACCACCCTGTTCCCATGCTGCTACCTGGCAGATCCCACCACCTCCCGTGCCAGCTGCAGCGGGGTGCAGGCCCCAACTCACACCAGTGTCAGGGCTGCACCTAAGGGGAGAGTTCTGAGCTCAGGTTGGCTGAGGAAGGAACAAGATGGGGTGAAGCTGTGAGGGCCATGGGGTGGCAGGAAGAAGGAGGAGACAGCTGAAGGGTGAGCCCTGGGACACCAGGCTCCTGGACCATAGGACCAGCCAGCCAGCTGACTGGCCCAGCATGATCCAATCAGATCCCTCCCCTGGGTGATGGAGGAGTAGCCCAGAGTCCCTGTCTACATCTACTGTTAAGCTGGGGCCAGAGACTGGGGGCAAGTACCTGTCAGCCCAGCGCTCAGGAAGAGGCTAGCCAGGGCTACGGAGGCTGTGTCACAGACAAAAGATGCCAGCAAGTGATGGCACATGCCTTTAGTCCCAGCACTTGGGAGACAAAGGCAGATCTCTGTGAGCTCGAGGCCAGCCTGGTCTACACAGAGAAACCCTGTCTCCGGAAACCAGCTTAGGGGAGCAGCCGGCTCAATTTGACTCTTCTGAAAGGCTGGGATTCCTTCCCTTTCCTTCCTCCTCCTCCACTGGGTTTGGCTTTGTTTCGATTGGTTTGGTTTAGTATTTTGAGACGCAGCTCCCTATGTAGCCCCACATTGGCCCAGCACTCTCTCTAGTCCAGAGTGTGTGACAGTCCCCTGGTGTGGGTCTAATAGGTGGTGCCGTGCCATGCTCGGCGGATGTTGGAATATTTTTACATTTTTTTTACATTCAAGATATTAATTACACTCATGATATTCTTAATTACACTCATGATATTAATTACATTTGTGGTATTCATTGATTGCATTCACAGTATTCATTCAATAGCTATATTTAGCCGGGCGGTGGTGGCTCACGCCTTTAATCCCAGCACTCGGGAGGCAGAGGCAGGCGGATCTCTGTGAGTTCGAGGCCAGCCTGGGCTACCAAGTGAGTTCCAGGAAAGGTGCAAAGCTACACAGAGAAACCCTGTCTCGAAAAACCAAAAAAAAAAAAAAATAGCTATATTTATGATATTCATTATTTACATTAATTGTATTGATTTACATTCATGATATTATGTCCTGATGCTACTTTCCATTTGTGGGATTTTTCCATCACACAAAACAGATTCTGTACTTAGGAAATGATTGCTCTATATTCCTTTCTTCTCCATCTTGAGATAACGTCTAATCTTTCTGTCTCTATGAATTTGTATATTCTAGATATTTCATGTAATACAATTCTATAGTATTTGTCCTTTTTTAATGTAAAAACAGTTTATGTATAACTGCAGGAGAAATAATACACAGACAGTTTGAATATAAAAACAGGTTATAATTCAAAAGTCCAGGGTTATTAGAAGCTAGAAAATGTTTTCTGTGTAGAAAATAGTAAAATTGGGCCTGGAGAGATGGCTCAGTGGTTAAGAACACTGATTGTTCTTCCAGAGGACCTGAGTTCAATTCCCAACAACCACATGGTGGCTCTCAGCCATCTGTAATGAGATCTGGTGCCCTCTTCTGGCCTGCAGTCATACATGCAGGCAGAACACTGTATACATAATAAAATAAATCTTAAAAAAAAAAGAAAACAGTAAAATTGATAACATTTCCCAGTAAGCCCTTTTAAGCCAAATAATAGCTGAATTATACATATAAATATTGATTAGATTCTGGGATACAGAAGAGACCTGTCTTCATCTGTTCAGAGAGCTATGTGTTATTAAGTTGTGTAGGTGAGATTCCTATTCATCTTCCCTTCATTGTTTGATTTACGGCAGACATTTTTCTATAGGCTAATCCATAGTCTAAAAAGATTTTAGCCTCCCCTCCTGAAAGTACAGCTAGCACATTCTTTCATCAGCTTGATACAGTACAAATTCTTACCCTAATAGTGAAATGATTCAGTAAAGCATGCCTAGTGATTGGACAAAACCAAAACTTATTATAAGCCACAGTCATCCTAGGGTCCCCCCTGCTGGTAGCCTCCCTGGATCTGTGGGTTGCATTCCGATTGTCCTTTGCTTTGGAATATTTTTACATTCTTATTATTTTCGTGTGTGTGTGTGTGTGTGTGTGTGTGTGTGTGTGTGTGTATGTGTGTGTGTGTGTGTGTGTGTGTGTGTGTGTGCGCACGCGGGCACGCACACGCGTGCACATGTGAAGCTCAGAGGCCGACATCTTGGAGTTGGCTCTCTCTCTACCTTTATGTAGGGTCTGGGGATTGAACTCAGGGAGCCATCCCACCAAACCAAGAATTTTTTGTTTGTTTTTTTGAGACACAGTCTGACCTGGCTGACCTGAAACTCACTCTGTAGCTCAGCCTGGCCTGGAGCTCACAGAGATCCACCTGCTTCTGCCTCCCATGTACTAGGAGTAAAGGTGTGTGTGAATCATGTGCACCACCAAACTTGACAAGAATGGTTTTTAGGATAGGATCTCATGGAGTCCAGGCTGGCCTCAAACCCCATATGCAGCAAAGGATGACCTAGCCGCCAACCCCTGATCTCCTGAGTGTTGGGGGCGAGGTGAACGCTAGCCACTGACCCCCAGCTCAGACTTGGGGTTGTGATGTCTGCACCAGAAAGTCACCTGCCTGTGAGATCATCGCAGGAGCCCCGGCAGCCAGAGGAGGCAGGAAAGACCCCCTTTGGGCCGAGGGAGCTGAGCCTGTTCCTAGCAGAAGGTGGAGGACCCTGAGCAGATGGCAGCTGCCCTCGCCCTGCACTGGCATTCACAGAGGCTCAGTTCCAAGTGGCCTCCTCACCTGGAGTGGCAGCGTGCCCAGTCGCGCCTGCCAGGCCTGGTAGTTTCCCTCTGAGAGGGCAGGACCGTCTGGGTCATCACGCAGGAACTGGTCTTGGAGGACACACGCTTGCTGTTCTGTTGGCATCGCTCCAGGGACTAGAGTCCAAACTAGTCCCCGGGAAGGCGTGGGGGGAGGGGGCTGCCTGCCTCCGTTCACCTGGTCTCGATGTGCTGCAGGTGTCTCTCTGGAAGTCCCTGGGCCTCAGCGTTCTCTGTAAAAAGCCGAGTTAGAAATGAGCTGCTGTGGGTTTCCTCTCGATGCCACTTGACTAACTGATGTTCTGTTCTATGTCTAGAAAGAAGGAGGCCATCACTGACATGCTGACTAGTTGATGCCTGCTCTGTGCTGAGAAGGGGAGAGAGCATCACTAACTGTCCTATTGATGTCCGGCTTGTGCACAGAATGGAGGGAACCATTGGCTGGCAGATTGATTGCTAATGCCTGTCCTGTGCCAAGCATGGAAGGAATCATTCATTCATCAATTGATTGTTGATGTCTCCTCAATGGGTGATTGGTGATGTCTGCATGGAAGGAAGAGGCAGTATAGTTTTATCTACTTACCATCCTCACAAAAGGTAAACTCTGGCAGGGCAGCCCCTCCTGCTTCTAGATTCTGACAACAGTGATTGTATAATTTTTCTCTGTTTCCCCATTTGAAAGCATTCCAGACTTTTCTGAAAATTAGAGGCACAGTCCTAAACAAGAACTCTGGAGAGAAGATTCCAAGTTAGCAGTCAGTGGTGGAACCCTTCCTGGCTTCAGAGATGAGTTATGTTCTGTACTGTGTCTCCAGCATCCCCTCCAGCCAGCAGGAGAGGTAAAAAGGACCCCATGAAGCAGATGTAAAAAGAACACACCAGGGGGCTGGAGCGATGGCTCAGAGGTTAAGGGCACTGGCTGCTCCTCCAAAGGTCCTGAGTTCAATTCCCAGCAACCACATGGTGGCTCACAACCATCTGCAATGAGATCTGGTGCCCTCTTCTGGCCTGCAGGGATGTGTGCAGGCAGAACACTGTATACAAAATAAATAAATAAAATCTTTAAAAAAAAAAAAAAAAAAAAAGAACACACCAATAAAGAGCAGGGGTTTGGCGAGAATGCTCAGATACACCTGTCATCCCAGCATTTAGAAGGTGAGGCAAGAGGATCAGGAGTTCAGGGCCAGCCTTGGCCACACAGTGTGTTGGAGGCCAGCCTGTGCTACAGGAGACCTTGTTAAAAGAACAAACAAACAAAAAAACCTAGAAAAGATTGAAAGAACAAAGTAGAGGACGGGTTACAGCATGTGATATTGCATTGGGGACTTTGGAGACAGGGCTCAGTGAGAGGCCAGTGTGGGTGGAGCAAAGAGAGGCCATGGCCATTGTATTCTGGGGGACAGCATTGGAGAGTGCAGAGGACAATGGGGCCCTTGGTACAAGAAGTCCAGAGTGTCCCCTGGTGGCTGAAGGCGGAATTGCACCGTAACGGTGGACGAGAAGGGGTTGGGGAGAGGAATATGCGGACTTCATAACTACGGGGTCACTGTTCCCGCTCCTGGACGAGCTGTCACTCATATGTGTGGTAGTGAGTTGTGTGTGGACACAAGCTCACAGGGAAAGGAAAGCGACAGTCCGCTGGTGTCCTGAGGCCAGCCCTGTACACCAGGGCTGGAACACAAACTTGTCTCCATTCTGTGGACAGAACTCTTGCAATCAAGGCACAAGTAGGGCTGACCCCACTGTGGCCACTTTGCAGGGAGTCCAGCCTGCCCACTCACAGTGCCATGTGCCAACCAGTGACCCTCAGTGTCCTTGGCCTGTAGGTACATCACCCCATCTCTCCCTCCATGGCCCTTCCCATGGCAGGCATCTGTGTTTAGATCTTTTTGTTTTTCCAGACAGGGTTTCTCTGTGCGGCCCTGCCTGTCCTGGAACTCGCTCTGTAGACCAGGCTGGCCTTGAACTCAGAGATCCGCCTGCCTCTGCTTCCCAAGTGCTGGAATTAAAGGCGTGTGCCACCACTTGCCAGCTGGATCTCCACTTTTTCTTTTTTTCTTTTTTCTTTTTTTCGAGACAGGGTTTCTCCGTGTAGTTTTAGAGCCTGTCCTGGACTAGCTCCGTAGCCCAGGCTGGCCTTGAACTCACAGAGATCTGCCTGGCTCTGCCTCCTGAGTGCTGGGATTAAAGGTGTGCGCCACCACCGCCCGGCCGATCTCCACTTTTTAATGTCACAGGTCAGTCGGGTGTCTGGGACCTACCCTAAGGCAGCTCACTAAGGCCCCTGCAAAGATCCCATTTTCATGGCCACTCCCAAGGCTCTGGGGAAAGGGCCTTAGAACAGGGACGCCGTGGAAAGACAACACAGACCATGTTGGTCTGTTTTGGGCACATCCTCCCATAGTGCTTTCTTTTCCCAGCTCCGGGCTCCTGGTCACCTTTTCTAAGATGGATTCCCATGTAGCCCAGGCAGGTCTTGAACTTGTTATGTAGCCCAGAATAACCCTCTTATTTTGGGGCATGTAGGTCTCACTAGGTAGACTTAGCCGGCATGGAACTCAGAGATCCACCTGCCTCTGCTCAGAACCCAAGTCAACAGCAGCCATGATGGTGCTTGCCTGTCACCCCAGCCTGGGTAGGCAGAGGCAGGGAGTCCCTGGAGCTCACTGGCCAGCCAGCCTAGAGATCTGTGAGTTTCCGTTTCAATGGGAAACTGTCTCAAAACACAAGATGGAAGGCAATAGAAGGCAGCTAGCTGATGCCAACCTCTGGGCTCCACACACACGCATGGGTAAGTATACATGCGCACACACAACCGCATGGGTAAGTATACATGCGCACACACACACGCATGGGTAAGTATACATGCGCGCACACACACACGCATGGGTAAGTATACATGTGCACGCATACACGCATGGGTAAGTATACATGCACACACACACACGCATGGGTAAGTATACATACGCACACACACACGCATGGGTAAGTATACATGCGTGCACACACACGCATGGGTAAGTATACATGCGCACACACACGCATGGGTAAGTATACATGCGCACACACACACGCATGGGTAAGTATACATGCGCGCACACACGCATGGGTAAGTATACATGTGCACGCACACACGCATGGGTAAGTATACATGTGCACACACACAGCACATGGATCCCCACAACACAATACAGGCCCTGCTGCAGAAAAGAGAATTTATTTCCAGAATGTTCTCACATAACAAAACCAACTGTGGCATGTGGGTGCACATACCCGGGGTGGGCAGGGCAGAGCTGCAGGTGTCTTGAGGGTGTGTCCCCTATGGCGGGCACTGGGGCTTCAGGGTACAAGGCTGCTCCCCATGTGCCTGCAACTCTCTATCCTGGCCCCCTCCGGGATCCTGGGCACAGGACAGAGGCCAGGTGCCCAGGCAGTTTGGCAGGACACCAGTCTAGGAGGGGCAAGGCCCTGCGGGGAGGCCTGGGGACTGTGGTGACTTGGCTGGTGGCACCAGTAGGTCACAAGGAAGAATGTTGAGCCCAAAGTCATCGGGGTGCCGTGGACATTCCAAGACTCGGTTTGGCTCTCCTGGTGAGGCCACAGCTGCCCGAGAAGGCAGAAGGGTGAGGGGACACAGGGTTCTCTCTAAGGCACAGATCTGTCCCTGGCCTGCTCCCAGCAGACCGGGGCCTCTCTCCAGTCCTGGCTAGCCTGTGACAGGGGTGTGGCCTGCCATGCAGCTGAGCCTGTCTCTCTCCTCCCAGAGAGGGGGACCTCCTGGAGCCAGAGCAGCCCCAACCGAGTGGATCAGGGCCTTCAGTGGGCAGAGGTCTACTCAGGATCGTGGATGGGGGTGGGGATAGCAGGATGGCCCTGCCACTAGGGACAGGACAAGGAAGCTGCAGGACCCTGTCCCCAGAGGAGCACAGGGGTGGACTGCATGGCAGAGCTGAGGATGCAGCCACAACAGCCATGCTCCTGCCTCCATCCATAAGTGCTCCCTCTGGGGCTCAGCTGTCTGTCTCAGCCACACAACGGACAGGAGCCTGGTGGTGGAGGCCACCCACCCTCTGGCCAGGCGGGAGCGGGGCGGCCGCCCAGCGGCTCTGGTGGAACGGCAGTGGACAGCAGCCGAAAGGCAGTTTGCGGAGGGCTCGGGCAGGAGACGGACACGGGCTGAGGACCTCCGGGATCTCGTGGAGATGCTCAGGCTGCAGGACCAGGGGTGGCAGCAGGAGTCAGAGCCTAAGGCCACTGGCCTCCACTGGGGTAGCTGGGGACAGTGGGGTATTCGGGCAGGCTATTCCCAGAGAAGTTGTTAAACTGGGCCTCCCTCGATGGGGGATTCCTCCAGGTACCAGTGTTCCACTCCGTCTGTGCCTTCTGGAGGCTTCCACCAGCCCCACGGTAGATCCTATGCACCTGAAGGATCAGGGAGGTCAGTGCACTGTCAGGGAAAGGGACCCACTGTGACCCTCGGGTGACACTGCAGGGCGTCCCAGACCCTGCTCCCTCCCTGGGCCACGGACGCCTCATCTCCTCTGCTGTCCCCACAGCCCACAGGACACCCCAGCTCAACACAGCTTCCCCAGGGCCGTAATGCCCCCACTGCGACATCACTCTAGGGTGTGCCCGCCCTCCTCCCCAAACCCTGTGAGTTCCCAGGTGACAGCCTGCAGCTGAAGACACGGGGTGTTCTGTGGAGACAGAGAACAGGGCTCACCCTCACAAGTGCGATGGCCATCATAACAGCAGACAAGGAAAACAAGATGGCTGGGATCAGCATGACCACAGCTGCCCCAACATTGACCCCAAAGAATCCAACAGCTGCCAGCCAGCCACTGCAGGGTGAAAGAGAGAGAAGCAAGGAGTGAAAAGGGTCAGCATACCCACAGAAGGGCCTGCTTGCTGTCCTTCATATGCAAAGAGCTGTGACAAATCAACAAGGAATAGGTACATAAGGCCTTATCTCCTTCATATGTACGGAGCTCCAACAGATCATCAAGAAAAAGATAACTTTAAAGGAGCTGGGCTCAGTTAAGGACCAAAAGGTGACTGATCAATACAAAACGATGGTCATAACAAACTGCTTAACAATTTAACAGGCTTCGGGTCATAAAACACACCCAACCAAAACACACATCTCAAAGAAAGTACTAAGGCAAGGCCTTGCTGACTCCTACAGGTCATAACATCTGCTGTTCTCCACACAAGAGCGTAAGTAACACCCTCAGTAGCCCATCCATCCTGAGAATGCCACCTGCCAGTCTGAGTCAGGGCTGGTGGCATGGCTGGGGGATGGGGTGGCTGACGGCCCGTTCAGAGGTTACCGAGCCCAGCGGCCAGCGAGGAGGGAGGAGGGCATGGTTCATGAGAGGCATGGAGAGGTGAGAGGGTGCCCGAGACCCTGCATGGACAGAACTGGAGGCCCACACTGCATCACCGAGCTCGGACACTGAAGCGGCAATCATGGCGTCTGTCAGGGACCGCCCCGGGTCCTCTGCATATGCCTATGGTTCTATAGCTCAGGGTTCTTGTGAGACTCGGGCAGTGGGGCTGCGATTCTGCTGCCTGCGCTTGGGATCCCTGTCCTCCTCGGGGTTGCCTCCTCCAGCCTTGACAGGAGGGATGGGCCTGGGCCAACTGTAACGTGTTAGGCCCTGTTCGGCTGACCCCGCGGAGTCCTCCTCTTTTGGAGGGAAATGAAGGAAGAGGAGTGGACCTGGAGAAGAGGGAGGTGCTGGGAGGAGGGGGGGGACTGCGTTCGGGGTGCGGTGAGTAAGAGAGAGAAGAAATGGAGGTCTAGACAGGGTGGCATCCGCATTTATCCCGTACTCCCGAGTCAGGCGGACAGACCTCACACGTCAAGTACCTAGTTCCAGGACAGCCAAGGCTACACAGTGAGACCCTCAAAAAAAGAAATGGAGGACCTAGACATGGGAGTGTCTGCTCAAGGCAGGCTTGGGCAGCATGGCAGGGAGGGTTCTGTTCAAGGAACCTAACATGGTGGCGTGGGCCTGGCTGCAAGCAGCTTGGCAGTGCGCTCTGCCGGTGGCCCGTGGCAAGGCCGCCATCTGTCTGCAGGGCAGTCTGGGGCTGGACGGCCCTGGCTCCACAGGCGGGCGGGCGGGTGGACTCTCTCTCACAGGTGAACGGGAGGCACACCCCGCGGTGGTCTGCTTACCATGCGCCCCAGCCTGAGAAGCCGATGGCCTGGATGGCGGTCAGGACAAACTGTGCTCCGAAGATGAAGAAGAATGCCATGAAGTTAAAGGAGCTGTCAGCTCTGCAAGGCACAGAGAGGGCAGTGGGAGGAGTCAAGACCCCCTCGTCCCCGACACACCTACTGACCGAAATGACTAAGCCCCCCACCGAGCACTCAGCCTGGGCGCTGACCACATGGGCATGACGCCACTGCCCCGGGGACTGCATGGGGAGCTGATAAAGTCTGGACACCCTGGGGACAGATGGCTGCAGATGGATGTCCATCTACTGGAGTATTACGAGGCCATGAACAGGAGCAAGGCTCCAACACACCACAGTGGAGGGACTTGTGCTCAGAGAAACAAACACGGAAAACCACACAGGTGTGGGACTCGATAGTAGAAAAGGTCCAGAACAGACAAATCCAGAGACAGAAGTGGGTTTGTGGGGCTGGAGAGAGGACCTGCGGAGAATGGTTTCCTCTGCATGATGGAATCCTCTAGAAGCAAGGACTAGCAATGGCTGGACTACTGCATTGCAATGCCGGGTACACTGTGGTCAGGAACTATTAAAACCAACAAGGCCGAAAGACTGCTCATGGGAATCCTCAAAAGAAGGAGTGTGGTCCCACAATGCAGAGAGGCTGAGGCAGGGGCACTGTGGCCAGACCTCCCTACAGTGAGACTCCAAAGCACCAAGGGGGACATGGCTCAGCTGGGACCACTCGTCCAGTGTCTCACACTCTGGGCTCCATCCCAGCAACCCCGAGACAGCAGTGGCTGTGGCCTGTGGCCACAGATTGCTGACCGTGACGTACGGCCACATTAGACAAGCGGGGGAGAGTTGTTAGTAACCGTCTGAAGCCCGTCCTGGACAGGCAGATCCCAGCTCCCCAGGGATCAGAAAGCACCGTCTCCACGGGTCCCACAGCTGGGAGTGGGTCAGAGGTTCTGCGGCCTGAGGGCCCCCAGAGCAAGCTTACCGGAAGGCCTTGTATGCAGGCCGGAACCAGCACACATAACTGCAGGGGGTGAAGAGAAGCAGCCAGAGCATGGCCAGGCCGAAGTTGGCCCCCGCTCCACCCGCAATCCACCAGGCCAGGCAGGCCACCAGGTTCACACCCAGAGTGGCACAGTAAACTGGAAGGACAGGTAGGAGGAGAGTGGGGAGGTCACCAAGGACCTCTGGCCAGGGGCTCTCCCCACCAGCCCATTCAGGGTGAGCCTCATGCAGGGAGCAGGGTCTCACATCCCGACAACACTGGGCCTGCCCTCGGCGGGGGCCTGCCCTCGATGGGGGCCTTCCCTCGGTGGGGGCCTGCCCTCGGTGGGGACCCCCACCCGCTCCGCGGGGCTCACACATCCACAGCCGGTAGATCCTCTTCACCAGCACCTGGTGCTCCACGGGGATCTCGTCGGAGAAGTCCTGGTAGAAGCAGGGCTTCAGCGGCACAAAGCGGGGCAGGGGCGGGAAGTTGTTCTCCTTTCCTGCAGGAGGGAGACCCCCCGGCAGCCTGTTACGGCCAGAAGCCTGCAGGAGCACCCCCCTCCACCTTAGCCCCTTCCTGAGCCACCAAAGCTAGACAGGACACAGACCCGCGCAGGATCAGCCCGACCCTCGTGGGCTGCGGCCAGAGTCACACCCCAGGGTGTTAAGGGGGCCACTGGAGCGGTCAGTCAGGGCACGGGCCCTGGGGTCAGCATTCAGAGTGTCCTGGGGTTGTCAGGCCAAGGAGGGCAGAGAAAAGGAGGGCGGCCAGAGGCCCTCCATAGCCCCGGGGTCCCCTGCACACCCCGCCACGCTGTCTACTTTGAACCTCCCTTCATCTGCAAACGGGAAGACACTGGTGGCTCTCTGGTGGCCTGTCTATGCCCCACTGTGGCACCCACGGCGTTACGAGGGCAGAAGCTGGGGACGCTGCCTGGGGAGCAGGGCAGACTCACCTGCCATCTCTGTGCCAGCTGACCTGGTACCCAGGCAGAAGGGCCCACCTGAAAGGAGACTAGTATCAGGGCCTCGCCAGCCGCCGGCCTAGGAAGACCCTAAGCCAGCCCACCGCTGCAGGCCTGCTCTGCTAGCCAGCCAGCTTGGCTGCTGGCTCAGTGGGTGTTGGCCCGGATGTGGGGCCGCCTCACGTCACTTCCCCACAGAGCAGTCTGGAAGGGGATGGGTCAAGTCACCAGCTGATTCTACCCACAGCCTTGGAGCCAGGATGCCCCCGGTTCTCGGTGTCCTCCCAACGTTGACCCCTGACGGTGGCCCCACAGATGACTCTCACTACTGCTGACAGACACACCTCTCAGGGCTTCCATTCCACCAAATCACCCAGAGCAGAGCTCACTGCCATGTGACAGCCACATGGTCACAGCGGTCATGGGTGTGGCACTCACCCATGGGAGCTCTTGCGACCCTGGCACAGCCCCAGAGGCACCTAGAGTCACTTTTCAGAGTAGCTCTGCCCCTAAGTGCTGCCCTCAGGACATGGCCGGGTAAGGCCCCCATGGGCGTCAGTGAGAAAGTTGCAGGTACACCCTGGTCTCTGAGTCCAGGCCCTGCTCAATCAACCAGGTGCCACTGGCTGGACACAGTCCCACAGTCTCAAGATGGGCCACCTCACAGCCCTGCCTCGTGGCCTCTCCCTGCCCCACCCTGCCTCCTGGTCACCTGAGGAGCCAGCCCACAGAACATGTCTTCCCAAGAGGAGGAAGGATGGAAGGCCTATGAGAAGATGCAGGCCACTCCTCGGACTGTCCCCCAGCTGAGGCCAGCAGGCACGCAGCAGCCCCACGTCCCCTCAGACTGGGACGGCGGGGCCGGGTCTGTTAAGGGCACACTGCCGTGGAACCGGCACCCCACTACATCCGAGGCCTATCACCCCACCGCACTCTGATCCTTCTGAAGCCCCCAGCCTTCCCACGAACAGCCTGTGGGTGAATCGACCCCAGGCCAACAGGTGTCCAGACATACTTGGAACCTTCCAGACTCCGTAGACAGGCAAGGGAGCCTCCTGGGATGTTCCTACCCCCAGAAGCACCCAGAGCCGGCTGCGCTCATCAGGACTGCCTTCCCCTTCACAACCCACACAGACTGACGCAGACGCCCACCCCAGCCTGGCACCTCGGTGCAAACGGGAACTTGGTTTGAGGCGCTTTATTTTCACACACGATGGCTGCCCCGAGCCTAGAGGACCTCGGGGACTGTAAGACAGCCACTGGGCTTGTACGCAGAACTGAGTCCCACGGCTGCCGCAGCCGGCAAAGGAGGCCGCTGTCTCGGGGCTGAGGGCGCCCCACATGCTGACCCAGGTGGTCAGTGTCCTTAGACACGGAGGGTGAGGCCCCCAGGGTCCAAGGCCATGGAGCTTCGGGGGATGTGGGCTGGCCAGGAGCAGAGAACAGTCTGGAAGTGGAAGGTCACCAGGCCTACGGGTCGGGGTCCAGCTGGCAGCACTGGTCCTCGAGGATGCCGTGGAACACCTGGAAGCGGTGGTTGAGGTCTGGCCGCGCGTGGACACGGAAGCGCGTGCCCAGGGCGCCATCGGGCGAGGGCGCCCCATAGAAGACGCGCTGGATGCGGGCGTGGACGAGGGCCATGGCACACATGACGCAGGGCTCGCGGGTAACATACAGGTCGTAGCCGGTGCACACGTAGGGCAGGCCATCCTCATTCTCATCCAGCTTGCGCACGCTGCCAGCACGTGCACCCTGGGCGGCGGTAGCCGGGGCGAAGGAGCAAGCCGGGTGGCGTCTGAGGTCACAGGTGCCACGGCCCTGCCCCTGGGCCACCAGGTCGATGCACACCATGACAGCGTGCAGCAGGGGGCTGGCCAGGCCGCTGCAGTCATGGCCTGTGGCCAGCACGCGGTCCGAGGCTGGGTCCACCACCACAGCGCCCACCGCCCGCAGGCCCTGGGCAGCTGCCCTCCGGGCGGCACACACGGCCTCTTCCATGTGGCTCTGCATGGCCGCTCGCGCCTGCGCAGAGAAGAGCTGCCCGGTCAGCGCGCTGGTCACCTGCTTGTCCTCGTGGAAGGACGTGGGCCAGTGGGCCCGCGCCTCCTCAAACTGGCTCCGGGTGAGCGGCGGCCGGGCGGGCACGGGCACCAGGAATGGTGTGCCCAGGCCACGCGGGTCCACGGCCGGGCTGGGGAGGAGCTCAGCCAGCGAGCGCGGGCCTGCGGAGGGCCCTGCCAGGCACAGCAGCAGATCTGATGCGCCGCCGGCGGCGGGACTGCGGCTGGGGCGCACCCGCTTGAGGTGGGGCTGGGCAGGAAGCGGGTGGACGGCGGACACCTCCCGCAGCAGGCGGGACGTCTGGCGCTTGTCCAGGACAGGCGCGGCGTAGGCCAGCACCAGCTCCACGGCCCCCGACTGCTGCTCGGACAGGACGGGGAGGGCTTGCCATTGCGCCGGCTCTCGCTCCTCACTTCCAGCCTTCTCAGGCTCAGGCGGCTCTGCGAGGCCCGAGGAGGACTCCATCCTCAGCGGTGTTCGACTGTGGAAGACAGAGATGGGACTGGAGTGTCATCCGTCAGCTTCAGTGGGTCGGGGTCTGTCCTGTGTGCGTCCTGCGGGACCCCGGAAGGACGAGTCCAGAGCGCCAGGTAGAGTGCGCTGACTCCGGGCTGCACAAGGAATACCTGCCGGGCTCCGGAGGGCTCCGGAGGGCTCTAACGAGTCCGCATGCCCGACCGATGCCGTGTGGAGGGCAGTGTGGAGACAGGCGTCCATTACTATCAGATCGAGAAGCCACCCCACAGCACGGACAGAGCCCTGGCTCCAGCCCCTGCCCTGTGTAAACCAGGTCGTCCCTGTCGTCCCAGGTGTAGGCCCGGGGATCAGGCCAACCTGGGCTACATAAAACTTTGCTTCTGACAAAAAACAAACAAAAACTATGAAAGACATAACCCAGTCCTTGGCCCCTAAACAAACCTATGGCCACCCACAACTGCTACTCTGTCTCCAGAGGTCACAGGTCTGGCATGGGCTGCTGACATGCTCTGGCCGGCTTCAAGACCTCGGGGCTACAGTCAGGAGAGACAGAATTCTGCCCGCAGTGTGCAGGGTGGACCTGCCTTGTCCGGTCCATGTGAGAACAGCGCCACCAGACCCTGGACTTCGCCTAGGTGAGACCGGCAGAGGATGCAGCCACAGCACACGCAGCTCCTGGCTATGGCCCCAGGGCTGATGGGCAATATCATTCCAACATCATTCCAAGCTGCTAAATGTCCCCTTTTCTACACAGTGACGGGGTGGGGGTGGGGTGCAGGACCACCCCCAGAAAAGCATAAACCTCACACTCAACACCCCATGGCTTCTAGGGGACATGCCCACCTTGGTCAACTGAGGGGTCAAAGACCAGAGCCAGACATACACCCAGTGGCACACACCTGTCATCCCAGCACTTGTGGCGCAGAGGCAGGAGGATGGCTGTGAGCTAGAGGCCAGCCAGCCAGAGCTACAGGGCAAGACCCCACCTCAATCTTCTGTATCCCCAGAAAAAGGCAGCAGACCTAAGATGCACCCCAAGAATACAGACCCTACCAAACAAGGCAGACATGTGGCCATGACCCATTCCACTCTGGACTTGTGCTCCGGGGTATGGCCTGCTGCAGTGGGCTAGCCTGGGAACCTGCCAATCCATGGCACCTGAGCTTTGCTGTGCCAGCACCCCAGTGAAGCCTGAACTGCCAACACCACTGCCACCTGTGCCACACAGAGCAAAGCCAGGCTTGGAGAGGCTGCGGGAGGCGAGGCTGCAGGGAGGGGACCCTCTTGGCCCTCAGACACTGCTTCTCATTGCTCTGGGGTCACAGCTAGCCAGGGCAAGATGGCAGGTGCCAGACCCGAGGAGGACGGCAGCCCCAAAGCAGGCCTCACACACACACCCCCTGCCACCCAGTTCTCTGCTACTGAATCCTCAAGTCATGAGCTCGGCTGAGTCGCCACCTCCCTGGCCCACTGTGCCAACCTATGGGCAATGATCAGGCACCCACATTCTTCACGAGGGCTCAGAACGATCTTCAGAGCACCCCCAGGGAGGGGGCTGGGGCTCAACATGGCAGGAACTTGCCTGCCACATTCAACCCTGAGTTCCCTACCGAGCACCAAACAAACCACGGGGGCGGGGGGGGGCAGCAGGGCTGTCTGGAGTGGGCTTGTTGGCATTACCCAGCATCGCACCCCACACCCTGCCTCCCCTGCTGGCGTGCACCCGGCCGTGGGAATACTCTATGCAATGACTAATGCGCTCACCCGGACTTCCCAGGTTAACACGGCATGGCTCTATGGGCTCCTGAGAACTACAGGTGCCCCTCAGAGCCCCAAGACTAGGGAGAATGGTGCCAGGCATGCCTGGGAGCCTGGCGTTACCATGGCTGCCCCTGCACAAGCCCCATGGCAGGCAGAGCCCATGAGGGGCCATGGTGACATCTGGCCTCCCCAGGGCACATACCACGCCCACAGCCCCCACCAACTGCCAGGGCCACAAAGCACCACTGTCTCCAGGGCAGGAGACACAGCCCTGTTTGTCCCCTCAAGCCTACAAAACAAGGGATACAGGAAGAAGGCTGCCTTGGGGACAGGACCCCTGGGGAGGAGTTTAAAAGCCATAGGATGGTAGCCAAGGCTGCGGCCACCCTTCAAGTTCACTGCTTTAGAGAGCCGTTCTGCATGTTTGCTTTCTTGTTTTGTTTTGAGACAAGGTTTCCCTGTGTGGCCCAGGCTAGCCTAGAGCTCACCATGGACATCAGGCCAGCTTCAAACGTGCAGTCATCTTCCCGTCACTGCCTCCCACATGTTGGGACTCAAGCGGACACCAGAAGGTGACAGGTGAGCGCTGTGGGTCTGCATGGGAACAGGAGCTCCTGCCCCCCACGTGCCACAGACACGCCGACAGCGGCTTAGAAGTCTGCCTCTCTCCGAGGAGCCTCAGCATACCACGCTGAAGAGCTGCAGGCAGACGATGGGCCCTGGGCCCAGGGTCCAACAGACAGGGATAGCACATGCCCAAAACACCAGGCACTCAATAAGCAAGATGTTGAGTTCCGGGTCAGTATGAGCCATAAAGCAAAACCTTCCAAAATTAAAATAAAAAGGGTTGGAGGCCGAGCGCAGCAGTGCAGAGCGTTCCTATCCTGCAGTGCGGGGCCTGGAACCCGCCACTGACGGGAGGGACGTGGATCAGCAGTACAGTGCCCTCCTGGTACGACCAAAGTCCAGGATTCGATCCCGGGTACCACCAAAGACCCCAAGAATTCCCATAGGGTGCCATAGCTTAAAGGGAAACTGCACACCTGCTGTCACCTGTCACGATGGTGAATCCACAACCCTGAGGCAGGGGACTAACTGCGATGACCCGGAACAGATAACCGGAAGCAACTGGAAATCACGGAGTTTCCGGAATGACAAGTAGGGTACACGCGTGCGCAGCAAACGGACGGCGTAGGGCGCGGTAGGGACAAAGCCCTCTGTGCGCACGCGTACTAGCCTCGACTGCTCGCGCACGAGCACGCCCACCGCCTCCCGGGACGCGCGCGACACTCCCCGAGCCTAGATAGTCGGCCCCGGCAAGGCCTTCTTTCCCCGTCCACCGCCCGGGCAACGTCGCCATCCCCGCTGCCGGTGGCGGATCCGGAACGGCGGAAGCCGAGCCCCTACGGCGGCTGCTCACCTGAGGGACGCCCGCGAGAGCGCCACGCTTCTCCAAGTCCTAGCAACGGGGCCCGCCCCGCCTCCTGCCGCGGGGCACGACGGGAACGTAGTTCCGTGGGCGGGGCCTGCTCGAGGCGGAGACGGAGACTTGACTACAATTCCCATAAGGCCGCGCGCGTGCCGGTCCGCCGTCGTGTATCTGGGGGCCTTTTTTTCTTGGGTCCTGCGGTGGGGAGAGCTCTGTGTTGCCGGCTCAAGACCCGCGGGTGGGTGGCCGAAACCCGGGCCCTGCTTGACGTTTTGAGATATCCACAGAGAGGAGACTTGGGGGGGAAGTGGGGGCCATCTGTAGTCACGCAAAGAGCATCTGCCCTCAGACGGCTGTAACCCTGTCGTTCACACTGCTTTGGAAGGTGGCCGTGGTCCGAGGTTTTGGGTCCACTCGGGCCCTCATTTTCCTCATCTGTACAGTGGATGAAGCAAGTGTGTGGACTCTGAAATACACATTGGGGCTCAGGCTGGAGCAGTTTGTGATTGCCTAGCGTCCAGGGCACCTTGCCTTCCATCCACAGCGCTGCATCCACAGGCGCGTCATCCCAGCCCTCTGGGGTTTGAGACAAAGTTCAAGGTGGGGGCTGGGCTTTAATCCCAGCACTCAGGAAGCAGAGGCAGGCAGAGACCGTCTCAGACAACAACAAAGGTTCTGGATGCACATGAATGGAGATCACTTGCCTGCTAGCTGTGAGGCCCTGGTTCAATCTCTGGCAATGCATAAAACAAAAAAATTAAAGAGCAAACGGAGCTAGAGAGATAGCTCAGCGTTTTAGAGCACGAGCTGCGCCTTCAGAGGTCCAGAGTTCAATTCCCAGCACCCACTTGGTGGCTCATCTGTAATGGGATCTGATGCCTTCTTCTGGATGTGGGCTGTGAGCCCTCGTGAGGAATGTGGGTGCCTAATCATAGGTTGCGGTCAGTCAGCCGGGCACGGTGGGCCAGGGAGGTGGCGACTCAGCCGAGCTCATGACTTGAGGATTCAGTAGCAGAGAACTGGGTGGCAGGGGGTGTGTGTGTGAGGCCTGCTGTGGGGCTGCCGTCCTCCTCGGGTCTGGCACCTGCCATCTTGCCCTGGCTTGCTGTGACCCCAGAGCAATGAGAAGCAGTGTCTGAGGGCCAAGAGGATCCCCTCACCAGAGCCAAAAAAAAAAAAAAAAAAAAGAAAGGTGAAGCCAAGCGTGGGGTTTCGTGTCCGCACATGAGCATGAACAAGCTGAGCCAGGAGAACCACAAGTTCCACCCTAGGCTGAACTGTGTGACATGCCTTTAATCCCAGCACTCGGAGGCAGAGGCAGGCGGATTCCAGGACAACCTAGGCTACATAATGAGACCACGTCTTGAAAAAAAACATTAAAAAAAGGTGAAATAAAATTAATAAACAGTAGGACTGGAGAAACGTTTTTTAATTGGTTGTCTATGGGACCAGGGTCCCTGAGACCCTCCCAGGGCCATTCTCCCCAGTTCAGCGATTGGGACATTTCATGGGGACCGCATGGAGCGGCCATGACTAAACCGCAGACTGCCTGGTGAGCAGTGACCGGGCAGGGAGGTGGGAACTGGCGCCCGAGAGCCTGGATCGGCCACGACTGCAGGGTCAACTTGTGTGCATTTTCCTTGGCCTGCCCTTCAGGACCTTTCTAGAAGAAGGCGTGTCTTGTGACCAGCTATCCGACCAGAGTAGGACCCACAGGGTTAGTTCATAGCGCTTGCAAGACAGAGAAGATTAGTGTGGATGTGACCTCTGTCACAAAGCCAGAAACCCTCGGTGCGCTGACTGGCTTCCAGGAGGCCATATGAGCCAAGGTACTCAGGAGGAAAACCAAGAGTTTTGGGTCATTACACCAGGACAGAGTCACCAGGAAACCCATGTTACTTATTTTACTATTTTTTGGCTGAGCCCAACACCATAAAAATGCTATGCCTGAGGCGGATATCTGTGAGTTCGAGGCCAGCCTGGGCTACAGCGTGAGTTCCAGGAAAGGCACAAAGCTACACAGAGAACCCTGTTTCCAAACACCAAAAAGAAAGAAACAAACAAAAAAATGCGATGCCAAGGCTGGAGAGTGGCTTGGCAGTGAGGAACCCTGACTGCTATCCCAGAGGACCCCAGTTTGATTACCTGCACACACACGGTGGCTCACAACCATCTGTAATTCCAGTTCCAATAAATACAATGCTCTCTCCTGGCCTCTATGGGCACTAGACTCCCATGTGGTACACAGACAGATAGATATGCAGGCACACACTTAAATGCATAAAATGAAAATAAACAAGTTGCCAGTGGTGGTGCACACCTTTAATCCACGCACTCGGGAGGCAGAGGCAAGTAGATCTCTGAGTTCGAGGCCAGTCTGGTCCACAAAGTGAGTTCCAGGGCAGCCAGGGCTACACAGAGAGACCCTGCCTCAAAAATAAGGGAGGGCATGGGGGGGGGTCCAAAGAGGAGCGGAGCCCCGTCTAGAATCCCCAGTGAGGGGCTGGGGGCGTGGTCAGGGTGGAGCCCCGCCCAGAATCCCCAGTGAGGGGCTGGGGGCGTGGTCAGGGTGGAGCCCCGCCTAGAATCCCCAGTGAGGGGCTGGGGGCGTGGTCAGGGTGGAGCCCCGCCTAGAATCCTCCAGTGATTGGCTGGGGGCGTGGTCAGGGTGGAGCCCCGCCTAGAATCCTCCAGTGAGGGTCTGGGGGCGTGGTCAGGGCGGAGCCCCACCTAGAATCCCCAGTGAGGGGCTGGGGGCGTGGTCAGGGTGGAGCCCCGCCCAGAATCTCCCAGTGAGGGGATGGGGGTGTGGTCAGGTGGAGCCCCGCCTAGAATCCCCAGTGAGGGGCTGGGGGCGTGGTCAGGGCGGAGCCCCGCCCAGAATCTCCCAGTGAGGGGATGGGGGTGTGGTCAGGTGGAGCCCCGCCTAGAATCCCCAGTGAGGGGCTGGGGGCGTGGTCAGGGCGGAGCCCCACCTAGAATCCCCCAGTGAGGGGCTGGGGGCGTGGTCAGGGTGGAGCCCCGCCTAGAATCCCCAGTGAGGGGCTGGGGGCGTGGTCAGGTGGAGCCCCGCCTAGAATCCCCAGTGAGGGGCTGGGGGCGTGGTCAGGTGGAGCCCCGCCTAGAATCCCCAGTGAGGGGCTGGGGGCGTGGTCAGGGTGGAGCCCCGCCCAGAATCCCCCCAGTGAGGGGCTGGGGGCGTGGTCGGGGTGGAGCCCCGCCTAGAATCCCCCAGTGAGGGACTGGGGGCGTGGTCAGGGTGGAGCCCCGCCTAGAACCCCCAGTGAGGGGCTGGGGGCGTGGTCAGGGTGGAGCCCCGCCCAGAATCCCCAGTGAGGGGCTGGGGGCGTGGTCAGGGTGGAGCCCCGCCTAGAACCCCCAGTGAGGGGCTGGGGGCGTGGTCAGGGTGGAGCCCCGCCCAGAATCCCCCCAGTGAGGGGCTGGGGGCGTGGTCGGGGTGGAGCCCCGCCTAGAATCCCCCAGTGAGGGACTGGGGGCGTGGTCAGGGTGGAGCCCCGCCTAGAACCCCCAGTGAGGGGCTGGGGGCGTGGTCAGGGTGGAGCCCCGCCCAGAATCCCCAGTGAGGGGCTGGGGGCGTGGTCAGGGTGGAGCCCCGCCTAGAACCCCCAGTGAGGGGCTGGGGGCGTGGCTCTGTGATTGCTTGTCTACCTTGTAAGAGACCTTTGGTTTGATCACCAAAATTCGTGGAGGGCCTAGTCTTCATGGCCTGTGTGTGAAGGTAGGACTAATTTTCTAGCAAAGGAGTCTGGGGGTCCCTCTGCCCTCTCTGGTCCATCAGCCAACTTCATGTCACCTCTACTCAGCTTGGTGGTGCTATTTGAAGAATCCCCTGCTTCCTGCCTTGCCTCTGCAGTCTGCAGGAACCATTCCCCCTGCCCCAGCCCCTTGAAATCCGCCATGATCGGGACACATCTGGACATTAACTCCTGAAGCGCACCTGTCTTCAGGGCACTTGTGACACCTGAGATTCCGAACCCGCTTTGCAAATCGGGAAAATAGCCTGGGATGGAGGCATTATGCCTGTGGTCCCAGCGCGGAGGAGACTGAGACAGAAGGTCTCCAAATGAAGACTAGCTTGGGTTAAGTAGAGACTCTGTCTCAAAACCAAACAAAACGGGGTCATGGCTCAGCTCGGTGAGTAGGGGGCTCGTTTGACGTGCTGAAAGCCGCGGGTTCCATCCCCAGCACCACCGGTTACCCCAGCACTTGGGAGGCAGAGGAAGGAAGCAGGAAGTAGGAAGTCTAGGTCATCCTTACCTACATCGCTGGCTAGTTTGATGCCAGCCTGGACTGCAAGAGACCCTGTCTCAAAAAAGGAAAAGAACAAAAGATACTATGAGGTATCATTGCTTAAACTTCGGGGAAAAATCACTCCAATTTGACTGCTTTCCATTAAGCCTTATAAACACCGGGCCATCTGAGCAGGCGGCTACCGGGTGTCCACGACAGTCTCAGCTCACAAAGCTTGCTCGGCCCCGAGCCCTCTTCCACCACAGCAGTTTGGTGAATATTAGTTAATTCTGGGTTTAACCTTTCTATTTTATTTAATTTTTTTTTTTCGTTTTTCGAGACAAGGTTTCTCTGTGTAATTTTGCTGCCTGTCCTGGAGCTTATTCTGTAGACCAGGCTGGCCTCGAACTCACAGAGATCCTCCTGGTTCTGCCTCCTGAGTGCTGGGATTAAAGGCGTGCGCCACCACTGCCCGGCCCCTTTCTTTCTTAAAATAAGATTTTATTTTATTTTATTTGTATGAGTGTGTGTGTGTATGCATATGTGTGCACCATGTGTGTGCTGTGCCCCCCCACAGGCCAGAAGAGGGCGTTGGATCCCCAGAGCAGCAGTTGCAGGTGCTTGTGAGCTGTGGATTTTGGGAACTGAACCCAGGTCCTCTGAGAAGCAGCCAGTGCTCTTAACTGCTGAGCTGTCTCTCTAGCCTCAATTTCTTTTATGTTTTCTGTCTTTCTTTCTTTCTTTTTTTTTTTTTTGCTTTTTGCGAAATTGTCTCATTTGGGTTAAGTTAGCACAGAACTCTGGGTGACGCTCCTGTTTCATGATTTCTAGTACTGGAGTGAATGTTTGAGTTGTGATCCACAGCTTCCTTCCAAACTGGCCTTTTCTTTCTTTTGTTTGTTGTTTTTTTTTTTTTTTTTTTTGGTTTTTTTTTTATTGTTTTTTTTTTGGGGGGGGTTTCAAGACAGGGTTTCTCTGTGTAGCCCGGACTGTCCTGGGATTTACTCTGTAATCCAGGCTGGCCTCTAACTCAGAGATCTGCCTGCCTCTGCCTCCCAAGTGATGGAATTAAAAATCTGCATACATCTTTACTCCCAGCACTTGGGAGGCAGAGGCAGGAGGATCTCTGTGAATTCAAAGCCAGCCTAGTCTACAGAGTGAGATCCTGGACAGACTCCAGGATCCCTGTCTCAAAAAAAAAAATCTGTATCACCCCCACCCAGCTAGATAATGGACTTTTATTTACTTTATATGAGGGGAGGAGGTGGTCTGTGGGTGCAGAGATCAGAGGACAGCCTACAGGATCTGTGTCTTCCCACTCTGTGAGTCCTGGGGATACAACTCAGAGACTCAGGCTGCTTGGCAGCCTACACCTTTATCTGCTGCACAATCTCACTGGCCCCTGTGCTTTAATTTTTTGTAATAATTTATTTAAATTCATTTTATGTGCATTGGTGTGAAGGTCTCAGATCCCCTGGCACGACACAGTTGTGAGAAGCCATGTGGGTGGGTGCTGGGAACTGAATTCAGGTCCTCTGGAAGAACAGCCAGTGCTCTTAACTGCTGAGCCATCTCTCCAGCCCCGTGTTTTAATTCTTGATATATTTCTGTGTAGTACTGGCTGGTCTTGAACTCCTGGTGGTCTTCTCTTGCCTCTGACTCCTTCCCAGGGCTACAACAGAGGGTTTTCCCTTTACAAAATGTCCTGGGGAACGTGGGCAGCGTTGTAAAGAGGGTGGTCTGCACACATGCTTCAGTGGGAACTGAGTCTTATCCACTAATGTAGTTATGATCCCGGCCATTCTCTCACCCCCGGCCCCAGGGCTACCTTCACTTCCTGTGGATTTATTCCAGGCAGAGCTTGGCTTTCCGGCTTAGCCAGCCCTGGCTCCTCCCAGCCCTGAGTTGGAATGGCCTGGGGGGAGTCCTGAGTGTGAAGGACAGATCCATTCCTTACATGGTGCTTAAAGAAATCACCAGTTTCAGATTTCTTCTTTCTTTCTGAAGACAGGGTCTCTCTGTGCAGCCCTGGCTGTCCTGGAACTCACTCTGTAGACCAGGCTGGCCTGGAACTCAGAGATCGGCCTGCCTCTGCCTCCCGAGTGCTGGGGTTAAAGGCGTGCGCCACTGTACTGTCACAGCCATTTTAAATATTCTTTGTAATTTATTTATCTAACTTTATGTGTCTAGTGTTTTGTCTGCATATATGTCTATGCATCATGTATGTGCCTGGTGACCTCAGAGGTCAGAAGGAGGTGTTGGATCCCCTGAAGCTATAGTTCCAGGCAGGTGTGAACTGCCATATGGGCGCTGGAATTGAACCCAGGTCCTCTGGGGCAGCAGCCTGTGCTGCTAACAGCTGAGTCATCTCTAGTTCCCTTTCCCTTTTTTTTCCTTATCTTTGAGACAGGACCTCATTGATGTGCCTCTGACTGGCCTTGAGCACCCCAAGTTGTCTTTGGACAGCTGTATGGACCCTCCAGCATACACAAACGTCCCATGTGCATCCCACACTAATAATAACACTTTAATATTTACAATTTACATTTGGCTGGGTGTGGTGGCACACACCTTTAATCCCAGTACTCTGGAGGCAGAAGCAGGAGAATACCTGTGAGTTCAAGGCCAGTTTGGTCTACAGAGTGTGGCTCTGTCCCCAAAAAGGAAGAATTACATTTATTTGTGGGCGTGTGTGTCTGTGTCCTGATTCACATGTGGAGGGCAGAAGACAAATCTGTGGAGTCGCTTCCCTCCACCCACCTTTCTGTGTTCTGTGGGTTCTGGGGCTTGAACTCAGATCATGGTTAGCAGCAGGCACTGTACTCAGACACCTCTCTGGTCCCATTCATCTTTCCACGCATGCATGTTAATGTGTGTGGGTGCAGGAATAGGGAGACCAGGAAAACGCCTTGGTGGCACCTTGGGGAAAGTCTTCTACTTTGTTTGAGACAAGCTTCTCTTTGGCCTGGAGCTCAACAGTCCCGCTAGTCCAGCTGGCCAGCGAAGCACCGGCCCTGGCCGGCCTGCTCTGCCTCCCTCCTCCTGGGACTGCAATCCGGAGAGCTGTCTTTTCACAAGGCTTTTCTAGACTTGAACTCAGGGCCTAGTGCTTTAACGGTAAGCACTTCGCTCCCCCCTTATTTATTTATTTATTTATTTATTTATTTATTTATTTAATTATCAGCTTGATACAGTACAAATTCTTATCCTAATTGTGAAATGTTTCATTGAGGCTTGCCCAGTCATTGAGTCAAACCAAAACTTAGTATAAGCCACAGTCATCCTAGGGCGACCCCTGCTATGTAGCCTCCCTGGTTCTGTGGGTTGCAGTCTGATTTTTCTTTGCTTTATACCTAGAATCCACTTATGAGTGAGTACACACCATGTTTGTCCTTCTGGGTTTGGGTTACCTCACTCAGGATGGTGTTTTCTAGTTCCATCCATTTGCCTGCAACTTTCATGCTGTCGTTGTTTTTCTCTGCGGAGCAGTACAACTCCATTGTGTCTATGTACCACCTTTCCATAATCCGATCTTCAGTTGACGGGCACCTAGGTTGTTTCCAGGTTCTGGCTATTACGAATAAAGCTACTATGAACATAGTTGAGCATGTATCTTTGTGGTATGATTGAGCATTCCTTGGGTGTATGCTCAAGAGTCGTAATGGCTGGGTCTTGAGGTAGATTGATTCCTAATTTTCTGAGAAACCACCATACTGATTTCCACAGTGGTTGTACAAGTTTGCACTCCCACCAACGTGGAGGAGTGTGCCCCTTGCTCCACATCCTCTCCAACATAGACTGGCATTAGTGTTTTGATCATAGCCATTCTGACAGGTGTAAGGTGGTATCTCAGAGTCTTTTTGATTCGCATTTCTCTGATTTACATTTCTTTTAGACAGGGTTTCTCTGTGTAGCCCTGGCTGTCCTGGAACTCACTCTGTAGCCCAGGCTGTCCTTGAACTCACAGAGATCCACCTGCCTCTGCCCCCCAAGTGCTGGGATTAAAGGGGTGCGCCACCACTGCCTGGCCTCATTTTTTAAAATTTCTTTTGTATGCGTATGCATGTGTGCCGCGGTGTGGCAGCTGGAGCACAATCTGCAGGAACCATTCTTTCCTTCTTTTGTGTGGCCCTCAGGCTTGAACTCAGGTCCTCAGGCTTATCAGCAAGTGCCTTTACCAACTGAGCCATCCTGCCAGCCCATGCACTGCCTGTTTTCACAGAGTGTTAAATATAAAGCTGAGTGTGGAGCTGAGTGCCTGGGATCCTAGCACTCAACAGAAAGCCATTTCTAGTGAATACAAGGGAGACAAGCAAGAGCCGGGCCCCAGCACTGGGGAGGCAGAGGCAAGCAGCCTGGTCTACATCGTGAGACCCTGTCTCAAATAAATACACACACGAATGAACAAAACTGACTGGAGATGCAGTTCAATCGCTAGAGTCCTTGATCCTGTAACGGCCTGGGTTACAGCTCTCAGAAACCTGGTTTGTGACACAGTTCTGTTACCCCAGCGTTGGGGAGACTGAGGCAGGTGGATCAGCACAGTGCAGCCTTCTCCCTTTCAGGTGTTAGGAGCAAGCCAGTTTGGGCTTTAGGACATTTTTGTCAGAAGAGATTGGGGGTGGCGGAAGGAATGAGGACATAATCCACAGGACATAGTAAAACGGTGTGGTGGTACACGCCTCATCCCATAGTCCAGTGGAGGGGATCATGGGTTCAGTACCACTCTGGGCCACCCGAGGTGGTGTCCTCTCACCTCCCTAAAAGAGAGCTTCACTCAACTGGTCTGTCAGCCTAGCATTCTGGTGGTTTGGGCATGAGGGTTACTGAGTTTGAGGGCCCAGCCTGAGCTATATAATGAGTTCTAAACTGGCCTGACCTACAGATTAAGATGCTGTCTCAAAAAACCAAAAGAAGGGGCCTGGCGGCCACGCCCACCTTTAATCCCAGCACTTGGGAAGCAGAGGCAGGTGGATCTCTGTGAGTTCGAGGCCAGCCTGGTCTACAGAGCGAGATCCGGGACAGGTGCAAAGCTACACAGAGAATCCCTGTCTCGAAAAAACAAAACAAACAAACAAAGGACAACCAAAGAATGGGCTGGCAGGACGGCTCCGTGGTTAAGAGCATTTTCTGCTCTTGTGGAGGACCCAGGTTCAGTTGTCAGATCCCAGAGTGGCTCACAAGCATCCCAACTGCCCATAACTCCCGTTCCAGGGAATTCAACTGCCTTCCCTCCTTGGGCACAAGGCATACATGTGGTGCACAGACATACATGCAGCCAAATACTCTTACATACAAAATAAGAAGATAAAGGAATGCTGGGCAAGGTGGCACACGGCCCTAATTCCAGTACCTGGGAGGCAGAGGCAGGCTGAGTTTGAGGCCAGCCTGGGCTACAGGACCAAATTCCAGGACAGCCAGGGCTACACAGAGAAACCCTGTCTCAAAAAAAACCAAACAAACAAAAAACAAAAAGAAAAGGTGGGCCAGTGAGATGGCTCAGTGGATAAAAGGCTTTCGCCGCCAAGCCTGAATACCTGAGTTCAGTCCCTGGGACTCACTAGGTGGAGCAACAGAATCCATTCTCACAAGCTGTTTTCTGACCTCCACGGGAGCTCCATGGCACAGTAACGTCTGTGTACAGACAAATAAATCAAGTCAAATTGGGAAGGAGAATTGCAGAAGACGGAAGTGGGCGTGGGACCCCCTGGAACTGGAATTACAGACGGTTTTGAATCACCCTGTGGGTGCTGGGAACCGAGCTCTGGTCTTGTGTAAGAGCACCAAGTGTTCTTAAGTGCTGAACCACCCTCCAGCGCCGTCTCCAGACCCTGAGAGAGAATGATTGGTCTACCGCCTCTCCAGGTATGCGGAAAGAATGGAAGGAATGATTTGAAAACCAACAGGGGATGCAGAGCCCGCCCACTGCAGCTGGCTTGGCTTCCAGCTTAGGCCCCGCCTCTAGGCAGACCCAGAGCCACACCCTCCCCAGGCCCCGCCTCTAGACCATGCACTCAGGTCCGCCCACACTTCAGGCCCCGCCCTCAGGGTGCTCTGTACCTCTTCACCTGGAACCCTGTCCTGCCCGAGCCCCACCTCTACATCCTCCACCTTCGACTCCGTAGCCCCGCCCCCAGAGAAGCCCCGCCCACCGCCTCAGGCCCCGCCTTTTATCTCAGGCTTCGACCCAGCACATCCGGCTCCTCCAGCCGCCGTGGCCCCGCCCCCAGCACACGCACCGCCCACACCGATCCACCCAATCCGCTTCGCTGTCGCTTTGCCCCGCCCCCCCACACACACTAGGGACCTCCTCGCTTGCGCATTCCCCTCGTATCACTTCCGGGGCGGTGTTAGAACGAGGCTCACTTCCGCCCGCGGCGGAGCGGCGGTGGTGGCGGCGCAGGAGGCCCGGCCGCGGTCCCGAGGGACACACAGACGGACGCACGGGCGGGCGGCCGGGAGCCATGGAGTGCGGCCCCGGGGCCGGCGGACGCGGGCGGCGGTGAGTGCGGGCGGGGGCGCGCGGACGGCGGCGGTTCGCCGAGCGGGGCCGCGGCGAGCCAGGCCCGGCGTCCGAGACACCCCTGCGCCCTCCGGGGGTGGCAGCGCGACCCGCGCACCCACCCGGCCCCGGCCGTCCCCCATCTCCTGGAGCAATCGCTTAACCTCCCCGGGACGCGGCTCTGTCCCACACCACCTCCGCCTCCCTCTCCCTGCTGACACTCGCCGGCCACCTCTGTTCCGTGTCTGGTGTCTTCCTGCCAGCTGGGTCCCACATCGGGCTTGCCCTATGTAGCCCAGGACTCCATGGTTCCCCATCACCCCCTCGGTGAAGTCCTCACCCTGCAACAGAGCCCGAGGGTGCAGCCCGAGCCAGCCCGGCCTCCCCTGGGAGTCCTTGCAGTTTTTCGAATCCTCGCTCGCCGTCGGGGTTTACCTCTCCCGTTTTGTCTCTTGGCTCTTTCCAGAGGACAGCTTTGTGGAGTCAGTCCTCTCCTACTGTGTGGGTCCCCACGATCCAGCTCGGATCTTCAGACTTGGTAGCAAGTGCCTTTGCCCGCTGCTGAGCCATTCCCTCAACCTGTCTACACTCTTGTGCTGCTTCTGGGGGAGGGGGGGGTGCCTCCCTACCCTGACTGGCTGGCTGGCTGGGGCATGCCAGTGCAAGCAGGCATATGTAGGTCGCCCTAGAGCCCTTCCAGTAGCCTGGCTCCTTGTAACACCGGGGCCTGGTTTTAGTTTTGTCATCGCAATACTTGGGTTTTTGAGTGGCAGTGAGTGAAATATCTTGGCTTGCTCTACTCAGTGGCAGCCATCTGTGAGTGAGGTCCCACATGCTGCCTGTCCCCTCCCTCCCTTTTAACACTGGCAGATGTTGGAGGCTTATTTCTTTCTCCTACAACTTCCTCATTTTCTCTGGCTGCTCAGCACAAGGTTGTCGGTGCTTATTGGTCTTACTGGCCCTGCCCCCACGGAGTTCCTTGTTGCAGGGTGGAAATCTGGTTAACTGTAGAAGGATGAGTATGTGGGGTCCTCACCATGTGGAGGACTCAGAGGGTGCTTGTCTGACTTGTTTAGAAAGTGTACTGCGGACCGGGCGGTGGTGGCGCACGCCTGTAATCCCAGCACTCGGGAGGCAGAGACAGGTGGATCTCTGTGAGTTCGAGGCCAGCCTGAGCTACAGAGCTAGTCCAGGATAGGCTCCAAAGCTACAGAGAAACCCTGCCTCAAAAAACCAAAGAAAAAAAAGTGTACTGCAAGATGAGACCCAGAGGTTGCACCCTGAGAAGCTGTGCCTAGGGCTGTGGTCTGTGAATAGGGAGGAGGGCACCCCTAAAAGGGAGGGCACTTGATGGGTGTGTGCTGCTGAAGGTGTCAAGTAGCTGGGGGGAACAGCCTGGCCACGGATGGTGGTGACTGAGATGTGACCCAGGCAAGGAGCCTGGAGTGCGGTAGGGGAAAGGTTCAGGGGCTGACAGGTGGAACCATCAGGCCTAGGGATCCACGATAGACTGGAAAGAAGAGTCAGTGGTAGTACCCACTTTCCTGGCCTTGGTAGTGGGACCTTGTTTCGCCTTGTTCTCCTGCGTGGTCAGGGCTTCTTTCTCCCTGGACTGCAGGTCCCTCCAAACTCCCCATCCCCAAGGGGTGTTACAGGGTGAGGCCAGAACTGTAAAGCTGATGTCTCTAAACATTGACCTTGTGGATATTTGGAGAAGGGTCATTCCCTTATAGGGATGTTCTGGGCTACTTGGGGTCTTGGACAGAGTCCCTAATCCCCACCCACTCCACACTAGGAGTACTCTGGGTTACAGATGTGGCTCTGGTGTCTCCCTGGTCTCTTAATCACTCAGAGCTAGAAGTGCTCCTGGTTACAGACAGGGCCTGGTGTCTCTTAGAGGCAGGTTCACCTGCATCTAAGAATTGCCACCTGCCAGCTGGGGACTTCTTTTCTTGTTTTTTTTTGTTTGTTTGTTTTTGTTTTTGTTTTTTTGTTTTTTGTTTTTCAAGACTGGGTTTCTCTGTAGTTCTGGCTGTCCTGGAATTCTGTAGGCCAGGCGGGCTTAGAACTCAGAGATCGGCCTGCCTCTGCCGTCCTGGCATTGGGATTAAAGGTGTGCGCCATCACAGCCTGGCGGGAGCTGGTGATTTCTTGACACTTTCTTTGTCCCTGCTCTGGCGGTCATGTCTTTTTCTCAGTGTGCTCCCTGATTGTCATGGACTGGACAACACTTTACCCAGCCCCGGGCCGCACACCTCAGGTCCACAGCTGCCTGCGTGCTACATGTCCCTCTGTCCTACCTGTCCCTCTGTCCTGTGGATTCAGACGCTGTGACCTAAAACCCAAGTGTGCGTGGATATCCTGTTAAAGTTGAGCAGTGAGAGATGTCAGGCCTGGTCAGTGGCAGGCTTTTCTGGAAAAGTCTCTGTGTCTGTCCACTGGGCAGCTCTGCACACAGTGGTAGTGTGACTTGGGTGTCCTGCGGAAATGGAGCCTCTGAGTTTCCACTGGAGTCAGGCCTGTCACCCACTTAACTCCCACAGTCTGCGGCCTCTGAGGCAAGCAGTTTCCTCATTTGTAGGTGCAAAGAACCAAGACCCAGGAGGTTGGGTGATTCGACCCCGAGGTGGCAGCCTCAGGAGGCCCCAGCTGCCCTGACCCCAGGGAGACCGCCTGGCCAAGCGCAGGGACAAACCGTTGTCCCAGCCAATGGGGCCCTGCCTCTGAGATGCATCCTGTCCCTGTTCCTGGCCTTTGTGTCTGTTTCCTCCCCTGGGCTCGGTCTCTATGCTCTAAGGCCCCGAGGCTCCCCCTCCCCCTCCCCCTGCGTGGGAGCCTGGGAGCCTTCCGGTTTGGTTTCCTGGGCTGGAGACCTGGCCGCCTCGGTCACCTGTTCTGGAGGGTGTAAGAAACTGCTGGGCAGGCAGAAGGTTTGGGCATAGGCCTGGAGTGCTGGGTGGCAGAGGCTGGGCATACCCAGCAGCCGCGCTGTGCATCAGAGGCCCAGGAGAGGATGCAGGGTGAGCTAGGGCTGTGGGCAGGCCCAGAGGAACAAGACAGACCGTGGATGTGGGGACGCGCCTTCCTTCCTCTCTGCCTGGCACCGGCTGGCGCCTGGTTCTCCCGTAGCTTTCTGGAGGAACCCACATCTCGGTGTCCCTGCAGGGTGTCTCACTGTACGGCATGGAGACCTGTGGCTGCTGCGAGGCTCCCGGGGGCTCGCCTTGGACCGCGATGGGGCCGGGCCGCGGCCTCCTAACGGGACTGAGGTGTGCGGCCCGCGAGCCTGGCCGCCCGCTGCCCGCGTCTCGGAGCACCCCCGCCCCTCCCCTGGCCCGGCGCGGGCCCGGCGCCCGCCATGAACGGCCTGTCGGTGAGCGAGCTCTGCTGCCTCTTCTGCTGCCCGCCCTGCCCGGGCCGCATCGCCGCCAAGCTCGCCTTCCTGCCTCCCGAGCCCACCTACTCGCTGGTACCCGAACCCGAGCCGGGGCCCGGAGGGGCCGGTGCTGCCCCCTCGGGACCCCTGCGGACCTCAGCGGCCACCCCTGGGCGCTGGAAGATCCACCTGACGGAGCGCGCTGACTTCCAGTACGGCCAGCGCGAGCTGGACACCATCGAGGTCTTCCTGACCAAGAGCGCGCGCGCCAACCGCATCGCCTGCATGTATGTGCGCTGCGTGCCCGGTGCCAGGTGAGCCCCCGGGCCTCGCTGCACGGGTGCGTGGGCGCTGCACTAACTTGCCTTCCAGCCTGACCCCTCCTGTAAAGGACAGGAGACCGTGCTCTCAGGGTCTTGCTTTCAGGTCCTCACCAGAGGGTGAGGTAGGGGGTGACAGCTTCCCGGGTGAGTCTGGAGTCCAAAGGGCGAGCCAGCAGGTGCTTCAGGAAGCCGCTTGGGCAGGGCTGCCCAGGTGCATGGCCTTGACCTGGCCCAGGCCCTTGTTTTGTTACAGGCCTGTCCAGGTTGGCCTTTGGCCAACTGGGAACAGAATGGGCCCTAAGCGTTTGCTGGTGGCCAGGGATGGGGCCCAGTCCTCCGTCCCCCTAGCGATACAGCATGCGCTTGGGGAGGCACCGTGGGAGCAGGCTCTTTCTCCGTGCAGTTCCCAGCACCGTGGAGCGTACGTACATGCTACCACGGAGATGGCCATCAGCCTCCTGCGCTGGATTTGTGTCCGTCAAGATTGGACTCATTGTAGGTCCCTCTGTAGGTCCTGATGCCCCTTGTAGATTGGCAGCCCGAGGCCTGCTGGCCAACCACACCCAGGGGCTGCGGACTAACTAGCCTTGGAGCCCATCCCCCACCAATCCTGCCTCCGGCTCTGGGAGCCTGCAGTGGAGCTCGGCTGTCCCGAGTGCTCTGCGGAGATGCGTATGGACGCTCAGCCTGTGTCCATGCCTCTCTTGCCCAACCACCAGGTACACAGTTCTCTTCTCGCATGGCAATGCAGTGGATCTGGGCCAGATGTGCAGCTTCTACGTCGGCCTGGGCACGCGCATCGGCTGCAACATCTTCTCCTATGACTACTCTGGCTATGGGGTCAGCTCTGGCCGGCCCTCGGAGAAGAACCTCTATGCTGACATTGATGCAGCCTGGCAGGCCCTTCGCACCAGGTGAGCAAGGGTGTGGGGGGATTGTCAGTGCCAGGTGGGGCCAGAGGGGATAGGCACCTGTGGCCCCCAAGAGAGCTGGTGATGTCCACAGGAAGAGGGAAGTTCCTTCACTTGGTCTGGGGGTGAGCCGAGGACAGCCGGGTCTAGGAGATGGCTGTTGAAGGACCTGGCCGCCCAAGGGCTAGGGGACCCTAAGACTCTGTCATTAGCGTGTCTTGCTCTGGGGCAGGTGGCAGTGGGACTGGCCAGCTGATCGGAGGGTGCCCAGGTGATGCAGTCAGCAGGTCTGGACCGCCAGCCTGCAGCCCAGACCTTTAGTCTTGAGGCTCCTCTGTCACACCCTGCATCCCGGTCTTCCCAACCTCAGCCCACCTCACGAGGGCTCCTTTTGCTCCCTCATAGAGCAGGGCCCATGCAGGGGGATAGAAGAGGTCAGCCATCTCTAGTTCTGGAGGCCCCCAACCTTGTCATTGGGGTCCCACGTGTTGCCGGGACGCTGACAGCCCTGGGGAGGTGGGGGACCGTGGTTACCCTGGAGATGTACCAGCTGTCACTGGGCTGGGTCCCAACTCTGTCCATTTGTCCCACTAAGGCACTGACCTCCAGGAGACCTCTCCCAACTCCATAGCTAAGCCTCAGGGGAGGTGGGAGGGACCCTTCTGAAGGGGCCGCCCCCATAATGGGAGGAGCTTAGGCCTGAGCTGTGGCTAGTGCTGAGCAGGCAGAGCAGGTGGGTCTTGGTCAGCACACAGGAGCAGTGCAGGCCGCCCCGAGGCGGTCAGCTCCTGCCTGGGATCAGGGGAGGGTCCTGCGGAGGCTTGTGGCAGGTGGGAACTCTGGCAGGGGCGGGACTAGGCCAGTTGACCCGGGCTAAGTGGCCACAGTGATCTGTTGGGGTGGGAGGGCCGCAGGGGAAGCTGGGAATGGGCTGGCTCCCAGGACCTGGGCAGCCACACTGCCTGTGTGATGCAAGCTTCTAATTGGGCAGGAGAGACTCAGGGGACCCTAAACTGGGCCACGCCAACCGGGGACACAGTTTCCTAAATTCCCAGGACCCAAGCTTGTGGGGAGGCAGCGCTGGGAAGAGACGGCTTGCCTTCTCTCTGGGGTCGGGAGGGGACCAGAACTTCCGATCTGGACTCTTAGGTCCCCAGCCTGCCTCACTCAGGCCCTGTCAGAGGGACTGAGGGAAAAACCAGGGGGCTGCGGCTGGGCAGGGCCTGCCGACCCCCCTGCTGCTGTCGTCGGTCAGGTACGGCATCAGCCCGGACAGCATCATCCTGTATGGCCAGAGCATCGGCACGGTGCCCACGGTGGACCTGGCGTCGCGCTATGAGTGCGCTGCGGTGGTCCTGCACTCGCCCCTCACCTCGGGCATGCGGGTGGCCTTCCCCGACACCAAGAAGACGTACTGCTTCGATGCTTTCCCTAAGTGAGCCTGGGGCCGGAGCCTGGGGGAGGGGCCTGGGGCAGGTGTGGGGATGGCCTGACCATCTTCTCCCTCAGCATCGAGAAGGTGTCGAAGATCACATCACCGGTGCTCATCATCCATGGCACGGAGGACGAGGTGATCGACTTCTCACACGGGCTGGCACTGTATGAGCGCTGCCCGAAGGCCGTGGAGCCGCTGTGGGTGGAGGGCGCTGGGCACAACGATATTGAGCTGTACAGTCAGTACCTGGAGCGCCTGCGCCGCTTCATCTCCCAGGAGCTGCCCAGCCAGCGCACCTAGCCAAGCCGCAGGGACCTCAGCAGTACACGGGCCTCCTGCCGGGGCTGCATGTGACCCGGCGCCCAGGACCCTGCCCGGCACCCCACGGCCACGAGCCATGTGCAGGTGATGGAGGCCCTCCTCTCCTTGTGGAAGCAAAGAGAAGGAAAGAGGGAAACTAATTAAAGGTTTAAGATTTTAGGATTGCCCTGGCTTCTTCATGGCTCCAGTGCGTCTTCCTGGGGCTGGGAGATCACTAAGACCAGCCGGGTACGGGCTGTGAGGAAGACCTCAGGTCCTCCTGACCAGACCTGCGCCTTGCTCTGCAGCAGTCCCCATCCCCACTCCAGATGCGGGCATGACGGGTGCTGTACCAGTGGGAGCTGAGGTCTCCCCAGGACTGCAGGACATCCCTAGGTAGGGTGGTGTGTGCTCTGCAGAGCTGAGTCACGTCTCTTCTAGCCTTAGGGTCCCCAGGGTGAGGAAGGGCCTGTCTGCAGGGAGGTCAGCACTCTCAACTGCCTCCTGCGGCTGCAAGGTCCCTTTAAGAGTGGGCGGGACATTTAGAGGCTGGAACGTGGGGGCCTCAGAAGTGACACATTGGTTTTGACTCCAGAGGCTTCCATCTGCTAATGCTGAGCTGGAGTCCAGCCTCCCTAGTCCATGGCCCTCGACAGCATCACCAAATCGAAGCGTCCCTGACACTGTGCCCCACTGACTGCACAGTGCGCCCTCACTAGAGCCCTGTCTTCAGTCCGACTGGTCCTACCGCGGCTACCCCCTCCATCACCTGCTGCAGAGTTGTGTTCCTGCGCCCCCCCCATCCACCCCTCTGAAATGCTGACCTTCAGAACCCAGGCTGTCCCAGGGCTGAGTCACCTGTGACCCAGCGAGGAGGAAGAGCAGCCGCACAGGGCCAGGACAGTTAGGAAGGATAAGCCTCCTTCCTAGCCGATCATGCTGGACTCAGGAGGCTGAGGCAGGAGGATTGCCACAAATATCGAGGGTAACTTAGGGTACAGAGTGAGACCCTCTCCTCAAGCCCAGCTATTGCTGGCCACAAAGTCTCCTGGGTGCTGGGGATGGAACCAGTTGCTCCTTGTGTGGGGGGAGAGCACTCTGCCTGCTGAGCTGTGGACCCAACCCCCTTTTTACTTTCTGAGTCAGGGCCTTGTTCTGTAGCTCGCTGTGATCCGGAACTGACCCTGAGGCCTGCCACATTTGGTTTCTATGAGACTTGGGGCATAGGGCATGCCAGACGAGAACTCCACCCCCTCATCACAGCCCCCCACGCTTTTTTTTTTGTGGTTTTTCGAGACAGGGTTTCTCCGTGTAGTTTTGGTGCCTGTCCTGGAACTCACTCTGTAGACCAGGCTGGCCTTGAACTCACAGAGATCCGCCTGCCTCTGCCTCCCGAGCGCTGGGATTAAAGGTGTGCACCACCACCGCCCACCTCCCTCCCCCTTTTTAATTTCTTTTTGTGAGACAGGGTCTCTTGTTTTGAGCCTGGCAGACTGAAACTTGCTATGTAGCCCAGGCTGGCCTCCCACGACCTAACCTCCCCACTGTTGGAATGACCGACCTGATGAGCCAGCATATGAGCCACAGCCAGTTTAAACACACAAAATCTAGCCAGGCTGGGGCCTGGCTGTGCACGCCTTTAATCCCAACACTTGGGAGGCAGCAGCAGGCAGATCCCTGAGTTCGAGGCCAGCCTGGTCTACAAATCGAGTTCTAGGACAGCCAGGGCTACACAGAGAAACCCTGTCTCAAAAAACAAAAGAATCCCACATTTGTATGGGGGGAGGTACACTTGTCACAGCATGTGTGGAGGTCAGAGGTCAGCTGCCAGGCATCGGTTCTCTCACTATGTGGAGTTTTAGGACTGAATTCAGGTAATCAGGCATGGGGGCAGGTGTTTTCGCACTGAGCCATCTGGCGGACCTCTACAGCCAGCTTCTGATGCCTCCGTCCGCTGTGTGTAAGAGCCGTCTGTGTCACCAACAGTCATTTAAGCGTTGGATAAATGTACGTTTAATATAAAGATGTGTATTTAAATAGTCCGTACTTCATGGCCTCTTCCTACCCAGTTGGTTGTGTTTGCTAAAGCATTTCATACATAAGGGAAATTGGGGGGCTGGAGAGATGGCTCAGTGGTTAAGATCACTTGCTCTGGCAGAGGACCGGCTCAGTTCCTGTCACTCAGCTCCAGGGCATCCAATGCCTCTAGACCCTGAGCTCCTGCGCACATGTGCACACAGATACATACAAATAATAAGGATCATTTAAGTGTGTGGTGCACGGCCTGTAGGCAGGTCTGTGGACCACCAGAATGCCGGTGCCCAGGGAGGCATGAAGAGGGTCTCAGGTCCCCTGGAATTAGAGGTGGCTGTGAGCTGACACACGTGGGTGCTAGGAAACAAACTCAACCATGCCAGACCCCCAGATTCCCCCCCCCTCTTTTTTTTGGCTGTTTTCTGAGACAGGATCTCTTTTGGAACTCACAGAGATCCACCTGCTTCTGCCTGAGGAGTGCCGAGATTAAAGGTGTGTGCCACCATGCCCCAATGACTTTGTGGTAGTCTTAAATCTGTATTTTTAAAATTTATTTTGGCAATTTGAGGGAGTCTCCTCACTCACTTTGAGAGAGTCCCAAACTCACTGTGTTTCCCAGGCTGGCCATAAATTTCTGACCCTCCATTTCCCAAGTGTTGGGAACAGATGTGTGCCACCAATCTGGCTGGTAATTTATCTTGCTTTTATTTTATTGAGACAGGGCTTCTCTCTGTGACCCTGGCTGTCCTGGATCTTGTTCTGTAGACCAGGCTGGCTTCGAACTCACAGATCGTCCTGCCTCTGTCTCCAGAGTGCTGGGATTAAAATCATGTGCCACCACCCTGCTTTATCTTGCAAGTCAGACATATAAAGAAAAATTTCTGAACTTACAAGTGCATAAAATATTTCATATTTTATTCTACAATTATACAGGTTAAACTTTAAAAAAAGATTTATTTTATGTGTGTCTGCGTGAGCAAATGCCGTGTGTGAACAGGGGCCTGAAGCTGGAGGAGTCAGTTACAGGTAGTCATGAGCCCCCTGGGGCCCGGGAACTGAACTCGGCTTCTCTGGAAAGAACAGCAAGCTCCCGGAACCACTGAGCACCCGTTTTGTTTTGCTTTTTGACAAGATCTTACCGTGTAGCCCTAGCTAGCCTGGAAGTTGCTGTGTAGACCAGGTTGGCCTCACAGTGGTTATCCACCCGCCCAGCCTCCCTACACAGCTCATCGGAGGGTTCTGTACCTCTTCCCTGCAGTTCACTGCAGACTAAGGGCTCTTCCACACTGGTATTCCTGTTGTAGGGTCTCTTTCTCACACTACTCCATGCTTCCCCAGGTCCCATCTCTCATAGACACCAAAGGAGCTCCTTTCATCCCACCAATCTTTGGAGGGCTGGGGGCGTGGTCAGGGGGAGCCCCGCCTAGAATCCTCCAGTGAGGGGCTGGGGGCGTGGTCGGGGTGGAGCCCCGCCTAGAATCCCCAGTGAGGGGCTGGGGGCGTGGTCAGGGTGGAGCCCCGCCTAGAATTCCCAGTGAGGGGCTGGGGCGTGGTCAGGGTGGAGCCCTGCCCAGAATCCCCAGTGAGGGGCTGGGGCGTGGTCAGGGTGGAGCTCCGCCTACAATCCCCCAGTGAGGGGCAGCAAAAGCAAACATGAATGCAAATCACTTGTATTCACGGATAAAATTATGATGAAGCTGTTACCTTAAATACAGGATGAAGTCATCTAACCTCCCTTTGGCTCTTCCTGCTGTACGCTCTGATATGGAATGCGTGTTTGTGGATCCCACATGGCAGTTCAGTAACTGGTGACCTATTCACCTGGGTTTGGTGTGAACCCTGTGCTTCTGTCAGCAGCAGCCACAGGCCTCCGGTGTGGGAGCACCGGTGTGTTCTCTCTGCCTGCCCATTTCCCACAAGGAGCCCTGGGGACCTCGGACTGGACAGCGACTCCAGCTCCGTACCCTAGGCTCGTTTTCACACACACCCCTTTCCCAGAGGCCGTTATCAGCTCCAGGAAGCTGCCCCCCTCCACCGCCACCTTTGAGATGGCCTGTGGCCAGGCTGCCCTCCCACCTGGGAGCAGGGCCAACTTTAGCTCTCCATTTTGTGAATTTCCCAGCCACACTGTCTCATACCCTAGTTGTAGGCGTTTCCCAGTCCAACACATGGCCACAGGCCCTGCGGTCACCTCATGTTCCCTACCCATGCCAACGTACCTCCAGCCAAGGGACCTAGTGGTCCAGGCATATTACGGCACCCAAGGCTGCCTCAGATGTACCCATCAAACAGGGACATGGGCCTCCCCACCTCTGCACCTTGAGGGCTCTCGGTGTGTATAACAGCTGGACCCATGTGAGGGTAAGAAAGGCCAGGGGCTTGGGGTTCAGATTTCCCCTGAACACATCGTGTCTTTGGAGCTGGGATAGACCTCTGACACAGTTATCTCCCTTACCAGGATATACAGTGGGGATAAGGACATGTTGGGCATGCTGCCTACCTCTGGCTGAGGGGCCCACAGTGCATACTGATGTCCATGGTTGACCAGCACACTGTGATTCAGTCAGACTTTTATGTTTGCTTTGTTTTTTTCGTTTCTTGGTGCTGGAATTTTATTTTATTGTTTTTTTTCGAGACAAGGTTTCTCTGTGTAGCCTTGACTGTTCCAGAATTCAATCTGTAGCCCAGGCTGGCCTTGAATTCACAGAGATCCGCCTGTCTCTAGCTTCTGAGTGCTGGGATTAAAGGTGTGTGCCACCACCGCCCGGCCTCAGTGCTGGTGTTTTAAACAGGATTTTACACAGCCCAGGCTGGCCTGGAATTTACTATATCACCAAGAAAATCTGATCCTCCTGCCTCTACCTTGGGAGTGCTAGGACTAAAGGTGTGCACCACATGCCCAGATAATTAAAAACAAATAACCACAACAAAAACATAGTCCCATGTAGCCTTGTCCAGCCTTCAGCTTGTGTTGGACGCTGCCATGGTTCAAGCCAATCTTAGGTTCACTGTTGCTAAGAAACAGCCCGAGTGCCTGTCTGACTCTGGAGCATCTGGTGTCAACCTTCCTCAGCCACATGGCTTGGGAGCAACAATGACGTGGGTCTGTATTTCTGTCCTACCTCTCTCCAGGGCATGGCTCAGAA